ACGGGCAAACTAAATTAATTTTGTTGGTTGCACACCTTTGAAAATGTGCCAAGCATCTGACCAAACCTGAAAACAACATCTCTTGTTTTCTGTAGGAAAACTTTGAAACTTGGCAGTCAAAGAAGAAGAATCAGGTGCCATTTTAACATGTGATGCGAAGTATCTTTTCTGGAGTCCACTTCCTTCTGCCGATTGACTAATAAAATGTGCCTACATTAAACAAAGAAGAAGCTGGTTAAATTAAAAAACCTCTCCTTGAATAACAATCAGAGGTTACTTTTAACGATGATTATGGCCACATACTAAAGAGCTGAAAGTGTTATTTAATTATAGATGCAGTTTCTGGCACTTATTCCAAAAATATCTGCATGCCTCTCGGCCCAGTCTCCAAACTTTTCCCACTCTGCCATGCCTGTATATAAAGTCATTGAATATATCACAAATTCAGAATGTTTAAAGAAAGCGAAAATGTTAATTATTTGTTTTGCTTTCAAAAATTATTCAATAATTCTTATGTATCAATTCAACATGAGCCAGCTGATCTCATCCACTGACTGCTGCATGCATTCAACCAAACTACAGTCCTGTCCTCTGTAAAGCAGTTTAGAAGAAGTTTTTTTTTATAAAAAAGTGTCACAGCAACAGGGGTCCAGGGGTTTCTGATTTGAGTAGCAAATCTGAAAAACCTGGGAGCCCGGAACATCCCCCCGATTATGTTTTACGTGCAGCAGGTTGGGATGAGTCATAGTTATGTCAACCATAACCAAACAAGCCATGAAAAATACAAGTAAAAAGAGTGAAAACAACTGACAGCGTTTTCATCAGTCCTTCATGACTAACACACACCTAAACGAACCCGGGCGTACCTATTTTCATACATCAATGCCCTCATTCTTGACAGTGCGTGAAAGGATGTTTATCTTTCATTCGTCTTTTTTCGCTGCTGGAAAACGCAGCACAAAACTAAGCGCGCGTGTACGAGTGGCTGGGAGAGCAGTATTGATGGCAGCGGTAATGATTCTGCTGGCACACGGCCACCCACCTTCTCATGGTTCAACCGAGACGCGGGGCTGCGTCTCTGTGTGCAGCCGCCATGAGGAAGTGGAGTGTGGCCAAAGAAGCTCAAAAATTCAAAAGTGTGCTTTCTTTGCTTTTTTTTCAAAAGCATCTTTTAGCAAGACTTCAGATGTTGAAGTTTACCAGATTTATTTTTTTCTTTTAACTACATGCACCATAAAGGATAGCAGGGATTTGTTCAAACTTTACAAGCTCGTTGAGTGTCAGACTGACCGGTCTACAAGAAAACCTGACAAAAAATAAAGACGATTGAAATTTTAAAAAAAGCTGCTATCCCTACATTTGAATGACTTGCGTAGAGAAGCTAAACCACATGTTGCAGCCTCACGCATAACACACACACACACACACACACACACACACACACACACACACACACAAGAATTAAAGGTACACTTTTCAGCTGTGACACAGCAAAAGCCAGGGAGATAAGTATGTGAGAAATGGGTGTGGAGCCGTGCGGAGGGCTTTGCCCAAAGGAGAACAAAGCTGCACCACACAAAAACACATTTACTGCCAGTCATCTCTGGAACGCAGTCAGTTTTCTAGGACTTCGTTTAATCTCCGTACAATCTTTTTCAATTATTTATTTTTTTACGATGACTCGATTGAGTCATCGATTGAAACGAATCCAAAAAAAACAAAACAACATGCACACTTTAAAACTCCAAAGAGACAAACTCTGAATGCATAAGGCAGAGAGTTGGAGACCAAGTTTCAGACACACAAGCCATTTCGAACAAAAACATTTATAAGTCTGATCATAACTTACTCTTGAATCAGCAATAAAAAGATTAAAGATGAACTTCTTTTTTTCTCCAAGGCTCTGAAATGTCTTTAAACTGATCGTTTGCAGCTCATGAGAGACAAAGCAACCTCCAGACAAAGTCCGTTTACCACCATTTCTGCCTTGCCACATGATCGTTCTCAGCAGATGGTATTTTCTCAGTCTGGTCTCAGAAAAATATGTGTATTCATAAGCGTATTACAATGCAGCTTTCTCCTCATGGACACACAACTTCCTCTCAAGTATGCTGGTGGTGCACCTTAAACTGCTTTGTATCGCAAGTGGGACGATTATCTTTAGACATCACTGACTTATTAGGAATTAAACCCATTATTTAATTGTGCCACTAGTTGGGCAGCAATTGTTTTCAAAAGAGAAAACGGAACTTTCCATCTTTAAAGATTATCTTCTGAACTATTCCCTAGAGATAACAAAAAATGTAACGCATCAGTGCAAAACACTGCTTTATCATAAAGTGATGAACAAAATGAAGAGGTGCAGAGACAGGTGGCCACAACTTATGTGGAGATGGAAAAAGAATTAGAAAAAACTGCAGAAGCATGAAATACATAGAGGAAAGAGAAAGTGTTGTGAAAATCAGAGAGAAGGAGAAGTAACAGAAACAAAAGCAAAGGCAGTCCGCAGTCTTTATAGAAACTATGTCTAATGGACTAAAAGCAGTGCTAATCCAAATTAGTTTGACAAAAAAAAGCTCCTACACAACAATGACAAAAGCAGTTGACTGAACCAATCGCTGAGAAAGAAAAAAAGAGGATAGACATCTCAGATAGAATCACATTCCTTTGCAAGGAGCAGATTAAGGGGGCGAGACAGATAGATAAATAGATAGATGGGTCTTGATTTCCAATTGTATTATACATCCTCTAACTGTACACAAATCAGCTTGGTTGTAGACAAGAAATATGTCTATATGTAAACACTCCCTTACGTGAGCCACTCGGCCCTTCACAGAGGTGCAACAATACAACATAAATTACAGCAATGTGTGTCCACATGTCTGTGTGTAACATCTTTTGTAGATACGGGCAATTCTGACGGCACTGGTGTCAGTTAAACAACAAACACCATCACGCTATAATCACACAGTCTTATAGACTAATCTCACCATCTCCCTCTTTTCCATCTCTTGCCCACTCGGGTTTGAGAAAATATCACAAACAATCGAGGAGCAGGTTATCTACACACGGGCTCAGGGCTCGGGATACAAAATGTGATCTTTTGTTTTTATGTGATGGACGTACCCACACAGAGATGAAATGGAGAGAAGCGTAGAGTATCACCTCAGACCAGACGTACGACCAAAAATGGACAGCTTTTGATTCTCAATTACTTTTTTTTTAAAAAGACTTATCACTTAATCGAGTTTCTTAAGCTTGCAGACTTTGTGCTAAGTTATGCTAACTGGAAGGTTACAGGTATTTTCATCCAGATGGACTCCTAACCAGTGGTCAATGGGCCAACATGTGGATTGTTTCTGCATGAAGGCTTCCAAAGCTGTGGACTTACTCATCACTCCTTGGTTAAAAGGCGACGTCTCTATGTGCTCGGAGGGATGTTGGTGCTCACATACGTAGCCCCTCGTGATCACTCATGTCTGCCTACATCTGCATACACACATGTGTTTGGGTAATAACCTGATGCTGACACAGCGGCACAGACCTCGTCAAGAGGAAGTCAATTGCTTTCACTTCAGCTGAAAAATCTAGTTACCGGCACGAAAAACTGAAACCTAAACTGCACTGCAACAAAACCAAGAGCCTGACACAGATTCAAGGGAAAGGTGTGCACTGGCTGAATGTGCGGACAGCAGCAGATCGATCCAAATCAAGACAAGTCATAAACAAAACCGAGGTTTACTTCCATTCAGCACTGTTTTGTTTCTCCTGTGTTTTTTGGGGGGCAAAATAGACTTGAAATACAAAAAACTGGTTGATGATTTAGGTCTTTCGATGGGATTATTTTCATGTCCGTGCAGATTTACAAAAAGCAAAATAGTTAAATAACCCATTTTGGAAGGACTTTTACAAAATTCAATGGCAACCACACATAAAAGAAATGGTTGCAGACACCTTTTGTGTGTGTGTGTGGGACTCACCAAAAGGCCTTGAAAGCTTCATAAATGTCTCTGAGACGTTGTTTAGTCCAGGCTCCAATCTTAAGCCCTACAGTCACACCTGAAAACACATAAACAGACACGATTTGATAAATCATCACACTGTGTTCACACACAGACACATCTGCACAATAAATCTATACAGCACCCACCAGAAGCCAGCTCACAGATGCAGTTTTTCATATAATCACCAAAATAAATAAGCAGTTCCTGACAGACAATATACAAACAGGTCTTGTGCCACTCCTTGTTTACTTACTGATTATTTGCTCTCTTAAATGTCTGAAGTAATGTGTAAATGTATTTGACATCTGACAAAGATGCACATCAATAAGGTCTGCTGGGATCTAAGGCTGAGAAAATGTTCTTAGTTTTGAGTTATGCTGTTGCCTTCACATACAGGACCCAGCCAACTGTGAATGAACGGATTATTTTTACCGCATTACACAATAAAAAACACCCAAAAGCTAAAAAAACAACTGCCAAACCCACAATGTTAACAAGCACTTTAAGACCAAAACCATCCGACAACATTGAAAGGGGATGCTAAACTATGAGGCCTAAAATCAGCTTCATCATTATATAAACAGCTGTTAAATTGGAAAGTGACATTTATGCACAACAGCTGCCTGATGACTGGGCAATTTCTTAAAACGCAGGACATTCCTCATGTTTTCTTAATAACAAGCAAAGCTTACAGTTTTGGTTTGCCCCACGGCCATGGTTGTGTTATTTACTTTCCAGCTGGTTCATTACAAAGACATCACCAGTACAAATTTTAAAAAATCCTTCTACTGGAAATGTCCTCAATGTACAAACTCCAAACAACAGTCTTGAGTCCCTCTCAGTTTAGAAATCCGTCCTCAGTGCTTTACACTGAACGCACCACAGGGACACTGCAGCTATGCACCACTTTACCATTAACGAAGCATCATTATGCAACCTGCTGTCTCCTCCATTAGACTCTCTCCAATTTTTGTTTTTGACATGGGCCTTCACAAACTACTGTAAACGCCCCCCCTTCTCCTCCTCAACCTCCTCCTCCTCCTCTTCTTCCTCCTCCTCCTCCTCCTCTCTGCAGCAGCAACCTGAGATGCTGTGTATTCCGACGGCCGGAGTCAGCCAACGGCGGCGGGCTCCAAAATGTTTCAAACCCGCTGTCGTCGCTGTTTTGACGGGACGCCGCGCTCACCTCGGCCGGGTTTCGTGTCGGCCGCCGGCTCCGTGTCCGTGTGTCCGCGGAGAGGTCGGACCGTCGCTCGGCTTCGCGGCGGCTCGCTGTTGCATAGGTTGCCCGCTGCTCCTACAACTGAAGCCAGGGCTTTAAATACGCCTTTAAAAGAATATCTGTCGGAAGAAGATACGTAGCGCCTGCTTCCGCTGACGTCACGGTCATTTGCATAAAGAGGCGGGGCTGTGGCGTTGGTATACTAAGAGAGAGGCCGGTGTCGTTAAAGGGGAATGCCGTAAAAAATACTATTGAGTTGCTTAATTTGCTTCAGTTTCAGCACGTTAAACAGCAACGTTTCGATGTTTTCGCTTGACCTTTAACTTTCATCAAACAGCTATCACTGTGGATAAATAACATCCTGCTAAATTAACAGACATTCAAGTGACATAAAATGTTATTAGTCCTTAACTCTTGTAAAAAGCATCCATTATAAAATAGTTCAATATCAAAACGCTATGTTTTTAATGATAATCGGTGAATTTCCCCCCAGAACACATAACACAAGGCAAAAATGTATTTTTGATGTCATAAAGCACTTAGTAAAACATCATTAATTAATTAATACGTTCAAACTTTTGTGCAAACTACTGTCCAGTATACAACTGAGTGCACTTTATGGTTCAAAGGTTGGAGTTAAACATTTTCAAATATGCTTTGACCACATTACATGCTATATGTGTACCCTCACCCTAACTCTTTACTTTGACTTCTGCTTCATGTAAACGCCTGATATGAATAGCAATACATATTTAAATTACTTATCTCGATGAACCTTTGTGTCTTGGGTGCTGCATGAATTATTAGTCTTGCAAAAATAAAATCTAGTAAAATCAGTTAAACAAAACAAATAGTTGGTTCAGTCAGTTTAAAGGTGGAGGTTGTCTGCATCTCTGTTTACATCTGATCCCTTTGCTGCGTCCTGAGAATGACAATCAAGAAAGATGACACTATTAGGCTTTAGAGGCCTCACATAAGGAGGACTTAACACAACCAATGACAAATTAACTACTTGAAAAGAAAGGTTGAAGATGGGTAGATGACTACAGCGTTATTGGACAGACTCCAAGTCATTATTTAGCACTGGATATGTAACTTAGATTTATTCATTATTCAGAATACAACTTAAAAAATATCCATAACTGTGTATAAATCCATCTCATCAAACAGTTTGCCAAATGAACTCCCTAATTTTTCATTGAAAAGACACATTCTATGCCTCCATGCCTAGAAACAATCAATTACAACGCAAGTTGATCCATATGGGGCAAAACTCATTTTTAAAACTCAGTGGCTGACTTGTTTGAAGTGGATAGAGATTCAGCAAGAAAATATTTCTCCATGTGATTTAGTTATCAAATGTGATGACTCATGTGAGGTTGTGGCTATTGAATCCCAACAGTATACATTTTTTCCTAAATGTTTTTCATCCAACTTTGAGTTTGCCGATTTTCTTTACACATGAATATGAAAAAACAACAACATCAAAACCACACGTGGAGTCAACATTTGCTTCCTGACAAAATGGCAGTCTAGACTCGGGTGGCAGAAAGTTTTAATCAGCATAGAAAACTTTAGTCCTTTGAAGGCATTTATGTAATAAAAAAATAATGATGATGATAAAAACAACATTGATACTCTTTGGCTGGCATTAGACTCAGAGTACATACCTAACCAAAGATGAAGGAAATAAAACGTCTAAATCCACCCTATGTTCCAGTTTGTCTTGTGACATGAAAACTGAACTGGATGTTTTCGCTTGCCATCTTAATGGCAAAAAAACAAAACCACAAAAAGCAATTACTTTAATCCTGTCTTTGTTTTGTTTCTATCCAAACTCACAAATCAACCTAAGACATGAAACCACTGTGACAGTGCAAATAGAAGCATCTACAGCTCCTTTCTATGTAGCACCGTGGTCTTAGTAGACTGGTTAGAAGACTTCAGCATGGTCAGAAATAACATATTTCTCTATGTACACTTACATCTGCCACTCACACAACAAACGTTACACTTTATAGATTAAGAAGCTGCAGGAAACACAGAAAACTGCTTATCTGGCACTAAAGCTGAGGTACCAGTGGGCCTGCATGCTGAAAGATAAACAGCTGCTTATGATTTCACGTTACAAAACGATGTCCAGCAGTCAGCCAAACTGCACAGAGCTATACATCCACACAGCATACTGTAAACACGGAGGCCTTAAGGTGAAAAGCACCTCCATCATCTCCACAGGGAGGTCATTCAGGGATCCGCAGGCCTGCTGGGACCCAGGAACAGCTGAGCGGGGAGGCCTCGGCTTGTTTTGCTTTGTTTAGCCTTCCACCCTGCAGCACAAGCAGGGGCTCGCACAGCTTCTTTATTTCCTGCAGAGTGGGCTTTAAATTGTGGAGCCGGGATGATCTGTGAAGTCCCTTTTAATTCTGACAAACAACATGCGAACTAAAGTGCATTCAATACGCTGGACAGGTAATTAGTAATGTGATGACTTGTTGCATTTCGTGACATAAAAGTCTGTTTTATGAGATGAAGAGGCAGATAAAGCTATGATCTTAAGCATTTAAGTACGTAAGATTTAAATTCCCAAATGTAAAATGTTCATTTTGAAGGCAAACAGAAAGAATCCATATTCCAAAAGATTCATCAATAATTATAAAACGAATGTAACTATTAGAAGTACTGACGATCCTTTTGGTTGTCAAACAGCGCCCTCTTCTGATTCAGTTCAATTTAATTCAGAGAAAGTTGAAAAATCACAACAAATGTCATCCACTTCGAAGTAAAGAGAGTAGTGAGGAGTGAGGAGAGGTGCATCATGGGAGTTCCCCCACCAGCGTGGGCCTATAGCAGTGTAACTACGGGATGTTCCAAAAAGGAAAGTTTGAACCATAATCTGAATTTCAAAGAGATGTCCGCTTCTTGGTCCTGAGCTCTGAGCCGGTTCCACAGAGAGGGCCTGCCTTCTACTTTTAGAAGCTGTAGGAGCTCTGCAGGAAAACTATAAGCTCTTTAGGATATGAGGGAGCTGACTCATTCAGAACATGGCATGTAAGGAGCAGAATGTTAAGTGAAAGTTACCTTCTGAATTTAACATCTCAAAGAAGATATAAATATGATGTAAAGAGAACTCTGACTGCACCATTTTAGATTAGCTGGAGGTTTTACATAAAAATTATTTGCATGTTTAGGTTTGTCTAAATAACCTTAATAATATTACATTTATGCAGTATGTGGTTTGGGAACAGGTGCTGTAAAAAATTGTGTGATTCCAATTGTTAAAATGAGAAAATTTTCACGATCTACCACTTCTAGTCATTCAGAGAGTAAACCTGCAAAAACAAACAAAAGGGACATACTCATTGTTTCCTTTATAAAAGTATAATGACTGTTGGTCAAAAAGTTTGTTAATAGTTTTGGAGGTACAGTACAGTTTAAGTCTTACATGAGTCAATATGAGTACATAAATAAAACGGTTGAGTTGTTGCATTGTGATTTCAGTCGATAAAAAATATTTACATGTTAAAGAAGTCTTCTCAGGTGACATCCTCTACTGGATGTAAATACAGTTCTCTGAGAGAGAGAATAATTTTATAAAGGATAAATGTTTGAGGAAAAAAGTCAAGAAAAAATACATAATGTTCACAATGCACAAGAAGATATACAATATACAAATAACACAACTACCGAAACTACATTTAGTTAAGCGACTACAGTATGAACACATTTCAGTATGTGTGACGCATTGAACAGGCGGCTACTTGGACTTTTGTTGGTTTTCTTAGATCTGCTGGCACAAAGGGTAAGACAATTCTCTAAGCAAAATAAATAAAAACAATTATTAGACAAGGAACTGGCTTAAAGTGCCACTACTGTAGGCCTCTTTGTTGGTTTTAATGTATTCCAGACCTGTGTTTTCCAAGATGCTCTGACAAAACACTATCCTCTGAGTCTGGTTCCCATCACCATGTGTCATCATATTACGCAGCCATTAAAGCATCACTTCCATCCAAACAAATTCCTGTTGGGGTTTTCCCACAGCGATGGTGAAATCTCAAAACTCAGTTTTGTTTTCAAAGTAGTTTGACTCCTCTGAGATCCAGATTTTCACCTGAAAAACACACAGTTGGGGCTGAGTTTCACTCAAACAACGTTCCCACATTCCCAGCCCGTCCAATGCACGAGCCTTTAGTGAAGAGGAGTGCTGTGGATGGATACGATTAAGGAGAAATCCAGCTCAGTTTTTTAGTCTTTCAGTCAGGCGTCCTTCATTTCACCAAAAAAGCAACATGTCAGTTCTTTTAGTATTCGTGATTAAAATCGCAGGAAAATCGCAGGAAAACCTGCACACCTGCTGGTACTTCATGTGAACGTGTGGCTTTGAACGACCCACACGTGATTCCTTCATTTGACCCTGAAATGGGTTGAGATGCTTCACTCTGCTGTGCTTCCAAAGAGCAGATCCCCCTTAAACTTTCTCCAAGTTTCTGATCTCCTCTGTGGTCCATGAGTAGTTCAGCTGCTGCTTTAGAGCTCAGGCGGGCCACTAGGCTTAAAATCAGCCTTTTTACCCAATCCCGTCTACTCCACCTTCCAGATGGCGATCTTTCCGTCATGTTTGCCTGCTCCGCTGAGGACGTAGCGGTCCTCAGCGGAGCAGAGCGCCGTCACCCTGTCCGTGTGGCCGTGGAGTTCCTTCAGAACCTCGTGGCGCTCTGAGTCCACGATGTAAACCTTCCCTTTGGTCGAACTCCGTCCCACGGCCCCTACCCACACCTGGAGTGAGAAGAGGAACAAAGTAGTCAAAAGAGGTCCGAGGCCCGCCGTATCTGTACGCGGCGGCGTGCAGGTGTTTGCCGGCTGACCTGTTTTTTCACTTTTATCATGCAGTAGCAGCCGGTGCAGTCCTGCAGCGCCACGCAGCGGAACGGCTTGCCGGCGTCTTTCAGATGCCAGATGCAGACTTCTGCGGAGTCGATGCACACACTCCACAGCTCCTCCCTCTGGAGCATACACGAGAAAAAATACAGTGAGGAGGTCTGTGGTACGGCCGGTTGATACAACAATGCAGAGCAGACAGATATACCTAGAACACTGTGGGGGGGGGGAGTTGTGTGCGTTACCTCTGGTAAGAGCAGCACAGCGCTTATCGTGGCTCTCTGCTGCGCGGGCAAATGGATCCGGTGTTTTACCGAGCCATTCCTCCACACCTCCATTATACTGTCCCTCGCACCTGAACAAGGAGCGGGGTTATGGGGGATCGGGGTAAACTACATTTCCTTCCTTAAGTGACAGCACGGGTGAGACTTACAACACCAAAGCGCCGTGTTAAGGCTGTGAACGGACTGCAGGCGGTCGCAGGACAGCCGGAACTGCCTCTTCACCTGAGGGATGTTTCGGATGTGGTCAATGTTAAAAGTTCTTGGATAATTCTTGACATTTCTGCCTTTGCTGTCAGTCAAGGATACTTTCAAGTACTGTAAAGAAAAAAATAATGGCTGGTTTCAACTAACCTGAAGCGTTGAGACATCCCACGCCATGATGGTTCCCTCTGCACTGCAAGAGTACGCCACTTTCTGGCTGAAGAACAAAGGAAAAACAGATCAACCACTTTTACTTTGATTATAATAAATGAGTTATATCATACCATAAGTTGTGCAATAAATAACTAGCCTACTGAATCCTTGATTTGGAAGGAGTTTTTTTTTTTTTACCTGTATTTTTCATTGTCAAGTGACAGTCCAGTGACCTCGGCTCTGTGTTCAGTCAGCTGTCTGTTACAGATCATGGCCACCATACTAATAATGTAGATAACAGAGTCTTCAGAGCCAATCCAGACCTGATCCTTATCTACTCCTAGCATACAGTTCTGAAAACACACACAACACAGTGATTAAAGTCAGAAAGAACTGGTTCCCCACAAAAGAAAAAAAACAAACCCCGAGTGGTGTAACGACTAACCACAAAACCTTAGAATGAAAATGTTTAATCAGAAGTTAGATGACCGAGAAGCATTCAAAGACAGTGAGTCACTCTGATGTATATACAGTACATAGTCTTATTATTACTCTAGCTGTAATGTGGAAATTACCCATTTTAAAAAGGAACAGTCTTGAATCAGTTTATTTCATAAGAACTTATTGCTGACCTTTAAGCTGCCAGCACATTCATACTTCTGAAGTATCCGATCAGTGAACATATACACAGAACAATTAAGAGGAAAATGAGTCAATGCTGTTAAAAATAATCTTGAATGTATTGACCACAAGCATTTCTAGACAAGTATATTTAGCTGAAACATGTCCAACTTGGTAGATTGAAGCCTGTGTAGTGAGTAAAATTTTGAGAGTGACCTGGAGAGATAATGCTAACTCTTGTGCACTACATAACATCTACACTGGGTGGCATCATTGCTCCAATATTGACTCACTGAAACTTCAACCTAAACTATGCATCTATTTTTAACAAAGTTTCTTTACAAAAGCAGACAGGAACAGCTTGAAAAAGTTTGTAAAAGTATTTTTTTCCCTAATTGAGCGGTTACTTTAATCAGTTATTGTGCTACAGCTCCAGTAATGTGTTAAGTATTATAATTAATAATAGAAACTATTCTCGCGGTCCATAACACATAGATGGGTATGTTTACATATCTTCTGTGAGTCTAGCCAGCACGTCTCAAAAAGCGATAGGAGCGATAAGCTCAGTCTGAAGAATCTTTCAAACCTCTGACTCGAATGTTCACCATATGGAGTTGCTCTCATCGGCTTATTTGTTCCCTTCAAAGTTTGGAAAACCAAAGACCATAAACCTCTCTAAAAGTGTCGCAAGCTGGGTAGTGATGTTTGAAACGCAAAAAGGGGGTAAAGAGAAAGCTGCTGAAAACAGGTCCCTGTATCAGATGTCAGTGGCATGCGTGTGATATGAATCTGCTGGATCTCTCCATTTGACTTTGTTTAGTAAAGAAGAACAACAGGTTCACAACATTTCGTGAGTGCTTTCATCACAGTCCCATAAAGAAAGCACCATGACCAGATGCTGTGCTAGCAAACGAAACAGCTAGAACATTTTTAAAAACATATAACAAATTTGAGATAACTTAAGAGATTCTGCGACATGTTTACTTGGAAAAATAACCATTGATGGATGGACTTGCACTCATATTCTGGAATGGAATTCTGGGTAATTATTTGATATTTTGGTAGTCAGAATCATGAAGATCATGGTAATATAAAACCATTTCCCACAGGGTCTCATCAAAAACATCCCCCACGTTCACGGTCAGCTGTGATTAAAGGTAAGTCACAGGGGAGAAAAAAGCTGGATGAACAGAGTTAGTCACCAGGGACAGACTTTTTCAAACCATTCTCAGACAACGGGCGATTACATCTAAATTCCTGTTTAATGAACTTTTCTTGTGTATCTGTTTGTGTTTAAGTGACCTCATCCTGCATAAACTTGTAGTTAAAAAGAAACAACTAACAGCCATAAATGCATCTGCGTTTTTCAGAGAACACAATTTGTTTGCCGTCCTTACCAATCTTGAATTCCCAACTTGACAGGTGTGTGTGAGAGACCAGCTGGAGGCGTCGAACACCATCACCTTCCCCCCACTGACAGACACCCATAACTGACCTGAAAAACACACGGACACAGTATTTATCAGTCATTTCGCAGTACCTTATCACAAGCCTGTGGCTCATGCAGCTGTTTTTCTTATTCAAAAAGAAATGTGGACAGATTTACCATTAAATCAGTTCATCTGTGGGATGACAGAAATAATTTCAGGATTTACTTTGGTCATAAATGTCTGAGCTCAGTAGAAAACAATTAAACAAATTGTGCTCTTGTAAGTGTCTGGAGTATTCAGGAGCAGCAATCCAACAGTTTGAATAAAAACATTTCGTGCTCCAAACAGTTTTTCCGACTCCACCCATGCTTCACCTAACGGTCAGATTTCCTCCAACGTATTCAGCGCTATAAAAAAACTGCGGCGGGGAAAAAAGAGAAAGAGAAACTGACATCCTGCATTTCATGCAAGGAGTAGGAGTAATGAGTGACAGAGCGGGGAGTGGTGAGGGCAGAGGGGAGGGAGGAGGAATGGACCGGTGCCAGAAACACCATTCAGTGACCTATATTCAGTGAGAGGAGGGCAGGGACCTGAATGTGCTCTTTTCACCAAGAGAAAACTCAAAGAGGAGCCTGTGCTGACGTCTGAGCGTGAGCGAGTGTGTTGGTGACTGCTGGTCACTCTGCAAGCAGCATGCATCCGAGTGGCCCCGTATGGTCGTCCAGTTAAGGTCAAAGTGTTATTGTTCTTTCTTTCAGTCTTCCTGCTGTTTTTCAGTAGTGGGAAAAGAGTAGATATCCCTCCTTCTGAGGGCGAATGTTACCGAGCACTTTCTCAACACAGTTAATACAGACGTTTTAAGGGGTATATAAACAGAAATGAGTTCAGTAAGAACAGAAATATGTAAGAGTTTGAGACACACCAAGCCCAAAATCAACACAAACATAAGGAGGTGTAGCAAGACTGAAGAAGAGGTTTTAGAGGAAAGAACAAAAGGAACATCCTCTGTCAAAAGTTAACAGGATGGAACTGGAGATTGTGAAACTGCTGCTAAAAATGGCCCATAAAACCAGAGTCATATGGATTTGTAAGAGGTTAGAGGAACTTACACTTGTCATCACAGTGTTAACAAGAATGCTGGAGAGACTTCTTGGTTACAGGTTGTATGCGTTTGCGTGTGAATACCTGGTGTGTACAGAAGGACATCCACAGCCTGAGGTGCAGCCAGTTCCAATGAGGGGTTAATTTTGTGCTTCAGCGTCTCTGAAGTAGTCTTGGGAACCATCACGGGAACTGGAGACAGTCAAATTAGACACAACTCACTATGTGTGGATTTCAGTCATTCCTGAGCATGTTCATCTCTGACGTAGCTGTTAGAACATACCACAACTGACCGTCATATGCGAGTCACTGACCCATCTACACAGCCAGTTGGTCATCTGGCCCATTATCACTCTTTGATTCATTTACCTAACTTGGCAAACCAGTTATATGTTCTGATCATGCGGTTCAACATGCAAACTACTATGAAATCCCCTGAGGGGTGGGGGGGGGTCAAGGCTGCATTGTAAGAGGTATGCAGGTGACACTTGAGGCCACATTCTCTATTTAACATATGCCCTTTTACCACTTAGGTTTCACTTTAGATCTGTGAGAAAGAGGAAAAAAAAAGGTCCTTGTGACCCCGCTGCTGTTCCATTATTGTACAGTGTTTTCAGCAAAGGTTTTCCCTTAATACACGCTGTTCCACCTGCTTCACCCGTTTCCCCCTCCGTACTGTGACACATGCCACAACAAAGTCACATCAGTCCCACGTATAAAATCATGAGTGGAAAAGGCTCTCTATGGCTTTTTTAAAGCCTCTCTCCGACAAAGCATTACCAAAGGCCAAACTGAGCAAGACGGATTAGGAGACAGGAAATAACACATCGTCACTCCACATTTCTCTACCTTCTGTCTTGATGCGGTAAAAGTGACCCAGCTTGGAAGCAGCATAGATGGCCTTACTGCTCTGAAGGCTGCCCACAACGGCATCCATTAGCAAGGCATTGGTCAGAGCCTGTTGCATATACTGGGGATCCTGCAGAGACAGATTTATTATACCTCCTTAATTGTTCATGCATCACAGCATGTTTGTTTGCAAGAAACCGTACCCCAAATTATTGGACAAATTGGGATTTAAAACCTACAGAGACTATATTCAAAAGGCAAACAGTCACAAGTTTTAAGTACAAGAGGGAAAAATCAACCAGCGAAAAGAAAGGAAATAAGTAAGTGAGTAAAATCAGATGCCAGTATGAAATATTACAGACTGATCAACATTTCCAATCAATGCTGCACCTGATGTGAAAATCCTGAGCTTTGTTATTGAAAACAAAAGTTTTAGTTTTACTGTGACATATGACAAAAACAAGCACAGAATATTAGGCAGAAAAAGAAAAATCTGGAACCAGAAATATTGTTGTTTCACGCAGAAAAATTATTCAAATACCGAAAACAGATGCCAGAGGTCTCTTGCCACAGAGAGAGTAAGTATCTTTTTTTAAGTTGAAATTTACGTGAGACACAACATGTTCATTACAGCTGTTTATTATGTTTTTGACACAACGTGGGAAATCAATAACACGCCTGCTGACTGTGCAGCCATCGTATAAAAGGGAACTGCGAGTCAAAAGAAGACGAGTGAGCGGAAAAGACGAGAGAAGTGAACACCAGACATTTTAAAGTTCCATCATCTGGTTTCACAAAGGAAAACCTCTGTACATCCTCCCCATGGGATTACAACCTCAGCCACAAAGGTCACCGAGGTTCATTTTAATCGACACAAAACTAGTATGATGCAGACACGATTATTTTCCAGTCAGATTACAGACATACCTTATGCTGATCAGCTATCACTCGTCCAGCCCACATCTCTTTGATCATAAGGTTCCAAAGCTCAGTTTCTGTTTTCAAATTGGCCTCAAATGTCTCCTTTCTCCCCCGAACGCGTAGCTTCAGGCTGGGGATTCGCAGGAGCAGAAAGGGAGCAGAGGACACCCTCACCTCCTAAATGGAAAGAAAGGAGAGAGGCATCTGCTGCAGGGTGCTTTCACATCTATGAATTAACTGAATTATTCAGGATAAGATACGCATCTCTCAGAGCTCGTCATTACTCCTTTCCCTCTCACCTCTAAATCACGGTATTGCGCCACCTCCACATATCCCGGTCGCCCATCGGTCAGCAGGAAGAGCCGCCGCTGAGTCATGGCGATCTTTCCCACGCCGCGGCTTGTTTTGACTGAGGATGACAGCTTGAAGACGCACTCACTGGTTTCGATGTGCTCCAACACAGACGCCGGCAGGGACACCTTGAAGTCAAACAAAAACCCTGAGTTTAGACTCATTTTGTGTTGTGTCAGCCAACAACTCATTAACAAGCTTTTTCTGGTCAGAGCAACAGTATTGCACTAAATAGAAGCTTCCAATGAGTAATTATGTGTTACTATTTATAACTTAACATGCCTGAGCGTTATTACCAAGTTAACTGCAAATAGATTTTTATTAGGTTTGATAAAATTTTTGATCCATTCAAGATAATAACTTAACAAGGCCCATGTTTCCTGACTAAGTCTGTTGGTGCCATAAACAGATTTCGGTTAAGACAAGCTGTCAAACTTTACTGTATAGTAGTCATTTCTACAATATACAGTACAGACCTCCTGAGCTTCGGCCTCCGTCTCCTTCCAGATTGTATAAAACACTCGGAACAAGTCAGGACCAACCTGCTTCTGATGACCTGGAACATAAACGCACATTTGCACAATAATTCAACACGGTGTACAGCGTATAATGCGCTGAGTCAGCTGAGTGTCATGCCTGGTGCGACTGAACCCAAAACCTATATTTCAACATTGATGTATTTTGAAATGCGGCTTTGTTTGAACAACTCTGCTTCACAGGCAGAGACATCTGTTCACGGACTGGGTCAACTCTTTCTCTCGTACCTAGCTGTCTAATGCGCCAGCATGCCTGCAGAGTGAGCAGTTGGAAGCCGTCTTAGTCGCTACATAACAGAGCAAAGCCAGTGTGGAGCGTTGCAACCAGCAGCAGTGAAGTCATATTCATTACTATAGGCCTCTCAAGAGGGGTGAACTCAACATTTTACTGACCAGTTTCTTTTTTTACTCAGAAAAGACATTGGATATTATTGTTTATAAGAAAACTGGAAAACCCAGCATAAAAAGACTTTAATTCTCACATTTTCATTAACACTTATAGGAGTGACAGCCATGGAGTGTTAGTAAGCATATCATATAATGCTATAAATAACCTATTTCCACGGAGATTGAGTCTGATACATGTGAAAGCACTGGCTAGGCTGAGGGGTCGTGAGGGTGGAAATACCTGCAGAGGTTTGGTTATATGCCTGGGACACTCCACAACAAATTTACTGGCAAGGGGGAGGTACTTTTGTTTTTCATGAAATCTGTTTAAATTGGGTCACTAGAGGTTACATGTTTGTTTGTTAAGTTTTGTTTGATCATTTTGAACAAATATATAACTTTCTTACATTGGGCCACGGTGGTCTCGTGCCATCTGATGATTTTTGTGGTTAATTATAAAAAAAGCTAATCCCAGTAAGATAGATCAATGAAGTGGGAAAACTAAAAGTTATCCCTCACAGGAAATTAATTCCCCCCCTTTTAAAAAGAATCGATTGCTCCTAAATGTCTCCAGTGGGGGAAATATCAATGTATTTTAATATAGACGGTTTCTTCCGGTATCAGAAATTCCTAAATCTATGCCTATGTAAATAGAATGTAAACAAACGACCATATAAATTAAATAAAGTTAAAAATCCCCACCTCTTTCCACTGGGTTTAAGTAAGAAGAAAGACTTAGCTTGTTGTGACAGTCAACAGGATGGTTAAGCCTTTTTCCGACAAATGAATGTGGAGGGAAATATAAGCTCCAACATGAACCTTTCTTCCTGCTTTCAACATAAGACATGTAGCTATGAAAAAGTTCCTGAAATTCCTGACAAATATCCCCAAAGCTTTAAAATACACACAATACCGCCTTCCTTACTTTCTGTAAAGCATTATAGCCTGAGCAGAAATGCAGCTACACACTCACTCAGATTAGTTGGAGCAGGCAGAATCACTAAAATATGAGTTAAAGATCCCGTCAAGCCTTAACTTGATTTACAAAAGGCGTGTGTTTGGCTCTTTAGAAGGGACAGGCCAATGATTAACCTGACTAATAAATGTTTGCCGAGGAAAAAAGGAGGAGGGATATAACAGGAATATCTATGTGCATGACAAACCTACACACACATACTGCAGTGAAACATATTACTCACCCACAGTCAGGGCATCAAAGAGTCGGTGTATGGTTCCTTGGTCTTTTACTATTCCAGACTCCTGAACACATTTCACAAACTCCTCCATCTGCATGTACTTTTTGGGCAGCTGGAAGTGCTTGACCGTGCCTTCCTCCTGTCCGCTGACCTGACCGGCGCGTTCCCGCTCCTGGTCCCGCTCAACCCGACTGATGAGGCGTTTGAGCTCCGGTCGTCTTTGCGTCTGTGATGACGTTTCAACATTTATTTATTACAGGGCTGCTAATTTTAGCAGCTAAAGTGGAGAGTTAACATCTTTAGCTTCTGATTAAGCCCTAAGGTTTTACAGTGAGTTGCTGAACTAATGTATTATTGTTGCATTATCATACAGGTGAACATGGCAGTGCTATCAATTAAAGTTTAAGTTTTAGATTCATCATAGAAACAAGTTGGGGCTCAAACACAATACTAGCACTCATTCATTATGACCTAAACATACCTGTAAGCGTTCAACTTCTGGCAGGGAGTCAACCAGAGACTTAACCATCTCAGAAGGGAAGATTTCAGCGTCGGTCTTGTAAAGACTCTGAAAATCCTCTAATGCATCGAGGCGCCTGTTGGACACTGTGTTTACCAAACCACGCAGGTAATGGTACCTTAAGAAGGAGGTAGACATGTATTAGACCGAGTTGTTCATCTGCAAGTAGACTGATTTCACTTCCATTTTCTGAACAAGTAAATTAATTTCAGTCAGAATTATCAAAACTCAAACAAAAATATGCCATCCAACGCAAAAGAGTTTTACAAAAAAAGAGAAAACAATAATGCAACAAAACCTCCAAAATGCTAACTCAGCACATCAGTTTCATCTCAGAGTTGAAATAAATAAATAAATAGAAAATAAGACCCTTATTGGCAGAGTACCTGGCCAGCAGAGAAGACTCCTCAGGTGGGGCAGAGTTAATAGCCTTCCCCAGTGAGACCACCATGTCGGAGTAATAGTTCTGGACATACTGATAGGCCAAAGGTGGAGGGAACTCTGGCAGACGGAAAACTCTCACAGCTGTCTGAGGAGACTTCAACCCTAAAGCGATACCGAAGAAATTAGTTGTGAAGTGGTACTTAATTGGACGAGCTTGACTTCTCCTGCACTGGCACTGACCGGCATCAGGAGTCATCTTCCTGAGGGACTGTGGTCGATTGGAGTTGATGGCTGGCATTGGGATGGTGTCATGTGAAGGCTGATCTAAATTAGGCAGACTGGCTCCCAGCCTTTTGCTCAGTCTGCGGTCAGGGCTGGTGTAGCGGTTGTAGCCATTCCTGGACAGTTCCAACATGGGAGGACGACGGGGGTACACAGTCATAGTGCGATTTCTGCTGAACAAGAATCAGAGGTAGAATATAGCTGTGGCTTTAAATGCAGTCCTTGTCATTATTTCTGAAACATGTGGGCAGTGCAGAGCAATACAGCTAAAAAAGTACTGTGTAAAGAGGAAAAATGAAAAAAAACAAACAAACATCGAGCTACATATGAAGCATGTTGGCGTCTAAGCAGCCCGCATCTTAAAATAATTGAGGTAATGAGGTAATGTCAGAGGAAACTTTGCAGACCTATGTGACATCATTAAGAAAATGTCTAGATAGAAGCTCATGACTCGAACCTTGGCAAAAGATGAGAGTCAAGTTTAGAGTTCCAACACTAACCCTGTTCAGATGCTTTTGAACTGCCTACAGAGGTTAGTTTAATGGAGACATCCTCGCAATGTGGATGAACTGGAACAGCGGCGTGGGCAGAAATGTGTCGACCAGTTTCTCTTAATCACTTCGACTCTCATTAGGCGCTATAGAAAATGTCTAAGGGAGGTTTTTGTGGCCAGTCACAAGTTGTACGAGTTATTCATTTCAGGAAACACTAAACAGATTGAAATCAGTTGTTAGGGCTGCTCCTGATCAGTTTATTTCTTCATTAATTTCTGTCATCTGCAGCTGGATTAACAAATTAAAGAGCTCTGGATTGTCACTGGAAGCAGATAAGCATTTCATTAGCGTGAATGTAAACCTGCTTGGTGTGTTAAAAACTACCAGTGTTTAGCTTGTACTAGTGTCCACTGCTGCCTGGTTACCGCTGTCACTCAGCTGTGACGTCCTACCTCTGTGAGTGGTTGCGTGTGCTCAGCTCCATACGGCTGAAGGTGTCCCGTTTCCTGTTCAGCCTGTCTCGCAGGAATGAGTGAAAGATGTGGGTTTCTAATACCTGTGGAGGACAACAAAGAGAAGCACGGTCTGGGCTTTTGTGGAAAGGCTTGTGTTTGCATCTGTGTGTGAAAATGCAGGAATGTACCTTCTTGTAAAACAACTGGTCTGCGGGTTCCCTTGTCCTCAGAAACTCCTCACTGTTAAACACTCTGTGCTCGTGGTTGAGAAAGTCCTGGACCTCTCTAAATTCAGAGCGGTTTACAAGAATTTATTTATTGGAATTGGTATAAAAACACATTAAGTGTTACCCACTTGCCTAAAGTGTATTTGATGGGCATTTGAGGCCTACCTGAAGATGTTGACCACTAGCTCCAAGGTAATGTTTCGTATCTGTGAGTTAAGCCTCCTCTGCCAGTTTCTGCGTTGCATTCGAAGGCCATTGACATCAGTGCCTGCTCCCAGGTGGCACAGCTCCAAGTCGTAGTGAAGCTGGAGGCACTCGGCCCTGGATACAAACATGCCAGTCACATAAAACCGTCTTATCTGGTATGGATTCAAATGGCTCTTATTCCATCTTATTTTGTCCTTGTGGGAGGACATTTACTAAAAAGTCAAGAATTAAAAGGATTTTCCAGCTCTGATCCCATCTAAAAGGACTTGGCCAGCAGGAAAACCAGTCAATCAGGGTCCTAACAATTTTACCCCCAAAGAAATCACATAAATACAAAAACACACACTCAATAAATTTTACAGTTGCTATATTGTGTTTGGTAAGCGTTCCAAGACTGGGCATTCTGTATTTTCAGTGTGGTGTTTATTAACCTTGACATAAAGCTCTCTGCAGCAGCCAGAGGAATAGCTGGTAGGTCGATGACTTCAGACCACGATGACTGAATGATGCCATCATCAATATTCACCAGGATTAGGTCCTCTGTCTCCTACATACAAAGACAAAGACATACACATTAAGAGGACTTCAAGTACAAAGAGTGAATTCATTAGGGCACAGTAAAAAGAAAATAGCTCCGTCAGGAGAACAAACAACTACTGTAAGGCACGTGTAGCAAGCTTAATTTGGCTGCAAGATGCCAAATAAAGACGAACAAAGAAGTTGAAGAATACTGTGCGTGAAATAATCCAAGTCAATAATATCACTAATGGTGAAAATTGCACATTTCACATTCAAATGTCTATTTTGTTTGATTCAGATCGTCTGGCTATGAACAAAGTCATCTCTGGGAAACGTGACACCACAGAAAAGTTGCAATAATCTCTATCTCATTTAGACAGTTATTGGACATGGAAAAGACAACATTTCTGTCCAACTCTAATTCTATCCCTATTGTCAAAAATATAAACAGTAATCCTGATAACAAAAATGTTCCAGATTTTTGCCATTTTATGGAGCAGGATTTGGACTTTGGACTCACTGCAGCAACCTCCTCAAAATGACTTATGTGACAGCCCATCAGGAAGGCGGTAGGGGCCATGAGGAAGTCCAACATCCCTCTGGCCAGAACAGGTACATAGGGCTGCTGCCATGAGAGGGGCTGAAAGAAATGTCAGGAACATGAGAGAGAGCAACAACAAAAAAAGTCAAATTTCTGCTAGAGACTAAACTGTGCTATTTGAACGCAATTTTCTGAACTAACCTGCAAATACAGCAGCAGACTCTCTGCAACCAGAGTAAGTCTCGCCCAGTCAGAGGAGAAGAGGACGGTCCTCTGTTCTTGGAGGAGACAGGAGAGCACCTGGAGGAGAGACGTAGAACATGCTTTTTCTATTACCAAATATACCATTAAGCACTTTAAGACTTCATCAAATCACATCTTCTGCGCTGTGCATCACCTGGAGTAGTGTTGTGTGACTGAAACAGAGGAGTGGTAGATGAAGGTCGATGTCTATAACAGGGCTGTCCTGATCCTCCCTGGATGGGAGGACCACTTGAAGAGGACGGAGGCTGAAGGACTGACGTATAGAAACACCATTTACCATCAATATCAGAAACAGTTGTCTGCTGGGCATGAAAAAAGGAAAATATGAGTGTTGTCTGACCACGTGTAGCTGTCCAGGTGGTGGTATGGGAACCAGGGACAGTTTGGCAGAAAACTCCTGGACTATTTCCTCAAAGTCAGATTGTCTTGCAGTTTGCAGCTGAACCAGCAGACTGAGAACCATCAGGAGGTGGGCCAAGCAGGAGAAGTGGAGGACAGGTTCAAATGACAACGTTTTGTTACAACAGTTATGTGATGATTAAATGAAAACAGTACCAGGACAAGCAGTCTCTCAGGGCATTGTAGTAGGGAAACTTAGAGATGACACACACAGCAAAAGGCGCATAGAGTCTGGGCTTGGTTGAATTCCACCTGTGGCCGTTCTGCACAACACCATCCTGAAAGCATATACAGCCAATAAGAAACAATGTTCTCAATGAGTTACTTACATATTGATTTAATATTTTCATGTTCAAAAGTATGTGGGTTTGTACCTGTGTTCCTCTGTAGTACTTAAGAACAACTCCATGGGTTCGGTTGCCAAACAAGTCGGTAAAAACCAGGAAGTGATAACTGTCCTCCTTCTGCTCACTGGTTAATTGAAGACCACCTATTGAAAATAAAACAACCAAACTCACGATATGACACCAAGATCTTCCATAATGCCCAGTGAGCCCCAGTGTTTGTGGGGGAGACCTATTTAGACAACAACGTAAACAGGTTGTTTGTCAGAAGAAAAAACACCTGGTTCAGCGGTCAGAAAGGCAGCATACCAAGCATATTCAGCCAGTATAACAGAAAACGATATCTGAGATCTGAGTGTGCTGCCGTCAGCCAGGCAACAATGGACTTTCAGGAATGGGGAAAAAAAAAACAGCTAAGTTGAAAACAGCTGTGTCAGTTCTGGAAAGTGTGCCACGTAGTACCAGGAAAACAGAGCTGTGGCAAAGCGATGAGATCCAGATCCTTGGGAACACTGATGTCCTCTGTTGCTGATGACACCTCAGAGCGACCGGCTGATTCCCCGTTTGACTGTACCTCGGCAGCACGATCTCGTCTCTTCTGACAAAAACAAACACACCGTTTTGTAGCCGATTCATATTGTACATATTTAACAGTTTACTCATTAATAACAAAGAAATGTTTAGGAAAAAAGTTAGTAGATTAAAAAAATCTATACCTTTTTGATAAAGCTCCTCCTTCTTTGAACACGGCTAAAAGCTGGACCAATCACCTGGTTTGAGTTACTTCCCTTGGTAACAAACGGTGGGGCATGAACCTGCAGTACCTCAGCTTCCAGCTGGGGCAGATCATCTGGCTTACTCTGTATGGACAAAAAGGTTTGGACATCACACAACAGGATATTTCATCGGATGGTGTAAACAGTGCACGTGAAGATACGACACACAGAATATTATCTAACAGCTAAACTCTTTTTGACTAGTTTTTACACAAGAGTGGGACTACACAAGCCGATGTAACGCCCTGAGTACTCATATAGCTTTACATCTACATCTGTTTAAAAAAATAAGTAACATATTAAAGACACAAAACCATCAACCTGTGATTAAAATGTAGACAGATTACGAAATAATAATCACATACTTATTTTGCTTTACTGAAGTGTTAGTTAAATCTTCCCTAAAATACACTTAGGTCGGGTTTAGTAACTAACAGAGTGCCCTGATGTCTGATGGTTTTGCCTCTTGGCCTTACCAGGTGTGTGTCTCGAAGCTTGTCACTGGGAGGTCCAAGCACCACACATGCCTCCAGCAGGCCAGACGGGAGTTCTGGCATCCTGCCGATGCACCCCCGCCACTAGAGAACCCAAACAAACACCACATTAAAACATTTCACAATATTGATTTGTAATATAATACCAGACCATTCAGTTGTTTGTACAAACTTCTGTTTTTTTTTAAACTCTAAATATGTATTCGTGCATTAAATCATCCAGCAGAGAATAAGCTGAATCTATTTCCAATCTGAATTCCTAAATAATTCGTGCCATTCTACCAAATTAAAACAATATGAGAAAAACACAAGACGTACCTGCTTTTAAAGTTACGATAAAGACACAATGGTAATATTCTGGTGAATGTTTACAATCTAAATCAAAGCTGCAGATTGATTTAGATGGTTCGATGATTGCAGCTTTGACTACCGAATCTTTTACACACATGATGAAACAGCCCCATGAGTAATCCATTTATTGTTAAACATAGCATGGTTATGACATAATAGCATGAGCATATGTAAATGCCTTTTTCATAACTTCCTCCAGATGCAACATCACACACTCGTGTACATCACGCACACACAGCAGATGTTAGGATTCAGTCACTGGTGCATTAAACCACTTTTTGTCATTTACCAAATTGAAAAACAGCGAAGAACAACCCAAGTTACCGTAACTGAACCACTATTTTCCTCTTGAACTTTTAACCACCCCGGCCCTCTAATATCATACCCAAACCCTTAAAAAAAAAAAAGTAATCTGTTTAATCCTGAACATATTTACTGACCCATAGACCCATACCTTTTAGCATTCACTTCTAATACTGTCAAACTATTACCTGCATTAGAACTTTTCTCCATTCAGGCTGTATCGAGATAGAGCACAACCTCTCTGCATGCCAAACATTATACTCAGGCAGATTCAACACCAAACATCTGACTTGCATTAGCTGCGCCAGCAGCAGTGTAAACCCTCCTTTCTTTCATGTCATCCCACTTCCCATCTTTCCTTTTACCTTTTTTAAAACCCTTTTTCCTTCACTTCCTTATTTGTTTAACTTTTTCTTTCTCTCAACTTTGCCGTAATCCTTTTCTACGCTGTCTTTCTTTCTTTCGCCATTTTCCCCTTGTCCTTCTGCAACACGTTTGCTTTATTTCTCTCCCACAGTCTTCAGGCTATTCCGGCCAATGACAAGCCACCCTGCTGTGTCACGGAAAACTAACACACTTTAGTCATTTTCGTCCCCTAAAAACCTCTAATCTAGCCAACCCTGTAGGGGAGGAATGCGTTGCCGATCTTATGCATAGCATCAGAAATACAAGTCCAGAATGCTTCTTGTACAATCACGCTTTCTAACACGAAATGAAATCCAGATGCTGTTTGCTGAAGGCGAACCAGATGAATCCAGTCAATACCTGCGCACCCCTTTGAATATAACGCTTCATTTTGCACAATTTGCTCAATTGTCACAAGAGTACCAAAACACAAAGTGGCGAAATAATCATTCAATCGTGCTTTGAATTTGACACAGGTGCCGATTATGTGGGGAGGAGATACACATCCAGAAGCAGGTCAGGAGCTTTAAAAAACAAGTTTGGCCTCATGTCTAGCAAGGAGGAAGACGCTTTGATATCTCCAGAAAGGAATTACAAGAATCAAACACAAAACGAATTTTCCATAAATGTCACGAAGAAGGTGGCATTCCCAAAATGGAGGTGGTGGAGAAGCTCATTAGCAAAATAATCAAGGTGATTTAAGATTTTTGTGTGAAAGATTCTGCTCCTTCAGCAGACTACCAACACTTTCCTGTAAGGCAACCTGTTGCTGACAGGGTCAATAAATTGGTCACCGGTTGTTTTGAGGCATTGGTTTATTTGCTGCATTCCAAATCTTATCAATAAAGCTTTTATGGGTGCCCTGAGCAGATACTGCCCTGTCCTCTGGTCACTAGTTAGTTAGTGTTTGTTAATGTGGCTCAATGTTATTTTGCCCTAGAGCATTACTCTGTTAAAGTTTTGAGAGTTTAATGAGCTGCTCAGGCAAACAGGAAGAAGGTAAAGTCTTAAAATCGGGTGACATGCCCCCATAATGGACACCAGACACAAGTTTATAGGTGGAGGCTCTCAAGTCCAGGGGGCAGTAACCAAAACAAGAACTACAATTAGAATGAGAAGTTTCCCCCCTTCAAACGATTCAGTCGCTTTAAAACGGCATTCTGTGTGTGTGTGTGTGTGTGTGTGTGTGTGTGTTTGATGAAACAACGTGTGGTGTCTAGTTCTCGTTATCGTTTCGTCATTTGCCGGGCAAAACTGAGAAACGTGTGGCTTCATGCGCTAAGACACTTCCCAAAGACCCGTCGTATATTCACCAAAAAACGACAGAGAAATTAGTTTGAACCGTTGTTTGTTTTTTTTGCTTTAGCGTCCACGCGGGCATAAACAACTTCCACGAAGAAGTCGAACAAATGAGCAAACCGGGGCAGGGTTTCAAATTAATATTTGAAAAGAGCACGTGAAAACAGTAAAGGAGTGAGACAAAAACTAACCAGAAAGATGAGTTCACGGACTGACCTTAAATCATTTGCACCGCGTGCGTGTGTGTATGTTGGGGGGGGGGGGACGGCCACTGCTCCGGTTTGTTGTCGTGAATTCCGTTTCACGGTGTGAAAAACACTGCCACGACTCCTACGCTGGCACCAGCTTGAGCTGAGCCGTGATTCAGTTGCCACTGACCCGGGGACTGGCTCAGCGGCGGGGTTACCGCTCGCCTGTCAAACTTAGCGGCGAAAGGTTCCACACTCACTTCCGGTGGTGCAACTTCCAAATTAAAAGCCCCTTTCAGTGGCACATGGAGGAAGACGTTCGTTACAGATGTTGAAATGGCGCCACTTACTGTCCGAGTAGGGCCCAAAATCGCTTTGCCCTCACCTTAAAGACAAGTGAGAAATACCAAGGAACTTGATAACATTTATTCATGTTGATACAGTGTCTTCTGATACTTATTAGGTTTTCTAAAATATGCATTTCTCTACTACAGATAACCAGAGTTAACAGATTGTGGGATTTGGGGATCCAGCTGCTGATTAGAAACGGAGATTATGAATCCGGGGCAGATGCACATTATGGCAGACGAGATGGAGATATAACATTTCAGAAAACATGCTATGGATTGAAATTCAGTCTAAATTTCAACTGAATTTGACAGATTATTTCTATCAATGTCAAATCGTCCTCCTCAAAATATGAATACCTTAATCTTTTACAATATACTTTGATCTTTTACAAGATAAATCAGGGACACTTTTTTCTTCAGGAGTACACTCATGCCAAACCTCAATTCCTACTGGTTAATCTAAATTAAGGGTCAGTTTTGCTGTTCACTCATGCATGGAATATCAGAAATGCTAATGGAGAATCTAACTGAATAATTGTAATACAACATTCCCTCTAAAGTAAATCTGCAAAAGTAGTTGTTTAGTTTTGTGCAAGATCCAAGCAGGTAAGGCGTCTCACTCACTGGCTGTGCAGTGATCAATAATGTAGCGTAGATTCTTATCGGTCATGTAATCTCTGTCATTAATCTCATTGGTTAGGGCTGAAATTTAAGAAGCTTTGGCCAAGGAGGCAAAATGTCAACAGTTGACATACACATATAACACGTTGCATACATACAACCAGTAGAAAAAAGTGATGAGCTACAACTTTAATCATCGAAAGCAAGGTGATTATTTTAATTCAACTCTTACAGGCATAATTTCATTATTATTAAACTTGACAGCAACACGTCTAATCGCCCCTTGGGTGCTCTGAGAAAGTTCACTGTGATGTTTGACACAGTGAGAATGTGATGCCCTTGAAGTACAGACACAACCGGTTGATTGGGATTCTGTGTCAAGGCTGTAACAGCACCCGATAAACTACAGATCCTGGCAACTTGTGCTTTTATTTAGATTAGCCATGTCAGTTGTCTTAGACTATCAAGGTAGCCCCTTGGCACTGGCCTTAATTTGAAAAATGGGAACAGGGATAAATGGTCGTATCCGACTTGGGTGTATGTTTAAGTTTTCTAATTACTGGGCCCTGTGATGGACTGGCAGGCCGTCTTGGGCTGTCCAGGGTGTACCCCATAGACGTTTATATCCTGCCTCTCATCCATTGACTACTGGGATAGGCTCCAGTCCCCCGGTGACCCCATTTGGGAATAAGCAGTTCAGAAAACGGATAATATTTACTAATACTAATAATGGACAATTTATATGACCGTGTACCCTCAAGCTATAATATGAATGCTTTACAATGAAATGCTGAAAGATGACAATGTGTTGAAGATCATTAAAAACTTTGGCAATGTCAAGAAAACGTTTTACCACAAATCATATAAAATCATCACATAAAAACATCCCTTTAGTCTATTTTGTATCATTTGGGTTTGGATCTCCGTGTTGCGACACTTATGTCGTGTCATACGGTGGCCGGCCGTGATCGTATAGTGGTTAGTACTCTGCGTTGTGGCCGCAGCAACCCCGGTTCGAATCCGGGTCACGGCAGACCGTGTGCGTTTTTAAAAACAAACGGTAAGGATTATTTCAACGAGCCTATCTTATATACACGAAGTAGCATATAGTCTTTCGTTTAATAGTTCATTTAACGAAAGCCAACAACTCGCTTAGATCTGTTTTCATTGCTAGATAAGTTGCCAAAGCAGCTCTCATCATGGTTTGATGTAAGACTTAATATATATATATATATAAGCCTGTTCTATAAATGGTCTACATTGTCATAAAACTGCGTCTACAAGACTGAGACTATTAATATAAAAGTGCTCATAAAAGTACCAAAGCAAACCGAAATATTTTGTAATTACAAGAAGTGGCCACTAGATGTCGTCTTCGACCTTTATGACTGGGGGTAATGGCACAGATTGGTATTTGTGGAATATTCATCCATCCATTAACTGTAAAAAAGCGTTCTCCATGCAGAGGAAGCGCTTATTTAAACGAGGGTATACCCTGAAAAACAGAATGACATACAAACACAGCAAGAAAACTATCTATGAGGCTGAAATGAGCTTTCAAAGACCCTTTTAATGAAGATGTGGGTATAGAATTCAATTCCCCCTCTGCTTTTAATACCATTAAAAGGAAACTTGATGGTAATATTTCCTTTTAAATTCATTTAAATGTAGTTTAATGATATATCTCCATTTCACACCTGATCTCAGGGCACCATTCAGAGGGATTAAACAAATTGAATTAAATTCCAGTCAAGCACACTCCAATTCAATCCATTATAATACAATCAAATCCAGTTTATCCCAAATAAAGTCTTATTCAATCCAGTTCTTTTCATTACAGTCCAATTCAACATTATGGCGTCGATTAAATGTAAGTTTACAATAAGTTAATTAGATGAGACTATCCTTTTATTGACCACTGGGATAGGGTCCAGTTCTCTCCGAATCCCCATCAGGGAACAAGCGGTAATGGATGGATGGATGGATATCCTCTTATTGTCAGAACATTATTTTATTATGATTACCACGATTGCAAATAATTAGCACAAACAGACTCTTTTATTAGTTACATTTAATGGATAAGCGTTTGTTATAAAAGTAACTATAGATAGCAAGAAACAATTTGTTTGGCTGGAGTTGTCAATTTTACAGGTGTAAAAACAGGACAATTAACTGACAAATATGGTTATGAGGAATATTGGGATGAATGACATATTCATATATATATATATATATATATATATATATATGCTACTGTTCTACATTAGAGCATACGTGTTTACATTAGTGTATATTATACAGATACATTAAAAAAAAGAATGTCACATCTATACCATAAAAATGTTTGATACAGCATATGTTACTCTAAAGTGGACAATGAAGAGCCTTTTTAAAGAATTAATAAAGTTATTCTGATTCTGATTTCAAATAATTACGCAGATATTTAAATGCAACATCCCAGTTACCCAAGAAACAGGGATGTTACCCACTTTCACTCAAGTAGATAAAAGCTACTTGAGTATGTGTCAGTTAAGTACTGACACATTTTTTCCATCCCTACCGTCAGATTTATAACTAAATATGAGTAATATTCCAGAGCTACGTGTCTACACATCCAGAAGTGTGTGGACGTCCATTCATTGGGGGGCAGCAGTTTCCTGGGCCTGAGGGCAGGCTTTCTCACCCCTCTGCTGCGCGCGGGGGCGCGCGCGCGCCCGGCTCCCTGCAGCAGCCATGTTGGAATGCTGGATGTGGAGGGGGGAAGCAGGAACAGTCGACGAGGACGGGGTAGGAGCGGAGACAGGCTGAAGCGAGGAAACCCTCCGGGAACTACTCCCAGCTCCACAGCTGAAACAACTGATTATTTACCGACTGTTTACCACTTCCCTGACCCGTAGAAGCAACCCAAACCTCCCGGAGGAGAACTGGGAGAAGTCACCGTGAGTATTTGTTGCGTTTTCGAGAGTAACTCAACTGTTGAAAGAAATGACGGGATGCAGTTGGTTTAACGTTCGTACTGGCTACCGTTAGCGGTTTCCTCTCAAACATTTGGACTGCATTTACTCTCTGCTGTGGTCATAATTAATCGGAAAGCGGTGGCTGAGATAGTGTAGCTTTGCTGGGAGCCTGCAGTTTTTCTGGTAGTTAAGTTGGAGCAGTTGAAAAAAAGGTGACCCGCCGCCACAAACTTGTCGCCAGTGTCACATGGAGTGAACGCGGACGGCGTTGGCTGTAATTTACAGTAAATAAAATAAATGGACCGGATTAACCCACATTTATCTTAAAAATCTGACTCGGGCAGTCGTTTGCTCCCCGCCTCACGGATTCAAGGCTGTTTGGTTATCTATGCTTCCCGTGCTAACTGAACTTGGTGAACTTCATTACTTAAAGGACTAGTTGTTTCCTTTTCTTTTTTATTATTCTTCATGGGTCTATTTTTTTTTACCATCAGTATTTATTTACCAAGACTTGACGCGCCCATATACTGTTATTATACTTTAACTGCAAATGTTGGACAGATAAGCCAAATAGTACACTAGACACTAATCTTCCACATTGGAGCTAAAACAGTTTCATTTTAAGTCAGCCACATGTTATTAAATGTGGAAAGTTTTCAGACTCTGACAAGTTTTCTGTAACGTGTGTTTCCAACTCATCTAAAATCGGATTGTTACTTTTCCTGCTCAGACTGACTAAGAGAAGAAGAGATTCTTAAAGAAAGAATATTTTGTTCATGCTGAAACACCGAAACACTCAATTTAGAGTTGTGTCAAGACTTTTAATTTAGTCCTTGGTTGAAATCCCTTTAGCATCAATGACAATCAGAATTTTTTTTTATCAAAGTTGATCTTCTGGATACCTTCTGTTCCATTCTTTTTGGTAGAATTGTAAACACAATTAGGTTTGGAGGTGAGCATCTCGTGGGATATATTTAAGATCTTGAGATCTATTTCTGAGATCTTTATAGGTCTGACTGGTGAGTTTTCATGGCGGAGAATCCTCCTCATAAAGTGATGTTTCAATAACAGCATTTCTTTAACAGGGCTTCTGGTTTCAGCCACATGTGTAATTGGGAATTGTGAGGTAATTGTGTTTGACTCATCAGGTACATACAACGCACAGCGTGCTCAACGGGAATCTGAACATTCGATTCATCATAAATTTCAGTCTCTTGTGTCTTGTAATTCAACAGCACTCTAAAAACTTTTTTTTCTTTGTCATTGTTGTGAAATTTGTGGGGAGTTCTGTGAAACAAAAAAAGTATACATTAAAAGATCATTAACTGTACATAAACATCCCCCAATGTGGAACATTTGAAAGGGTGTGCAGAGACTGGCTCCAACCTATCGACCTGGGAATGATTAGAAGTTCTATACACTTTGCCATTCTCGAATTGTAGATAGGGCCGGCACGACATTTAAACATTGGGATTTTAAAACTTTCTATATGAGTTTGAGGGAGGATCACGTTTAGTAAAGGAAGATGCTGCTTATTAGATCTATCAAAAAGCATGTTGGCTCCAAATTGTGGTATGGCTCATTCATATAGCCTCAGATTGTCTTTAAAGCTTGTCTGGCAAAAGGAATTACTGTACATGTATCGCATGAAAAAAAGTTCAAACAAAGACAATTTTTCGTTGATAGATGCCAAAGATAACTTGTTCAGTGTCATTGCCAAAGTAAGGAATATCCTAAGAGAAACGGAGTGTTCTGTTCAATGTGGTTTCACGTTTGAATACACTTTGGTGCAGAGCTTTCTCCACCTCTGCTTCCTATTCTAAATGCAAGCAAATGCTAATGAAATGCGGTATCCTCGGGCCGCCGAGGCTTCGGACCTGCAGTGTACAAATAGGAGTGCTGTCAGAGACTCTTTCATTTCCATTTCAGAACTGCTGGTTTGTGCAATAATGTACAATGTAAATACTGTTTTTCCTTTCATGCTTTAGTCATTATGCATTGAGTTGCAAACATGCATTTTTATCATTTACAGACAAACACAATTAGTTTGGTTGTGGTGGTTAATGAAAAATTCCTCTCATCTGAGTAAAAGCTGTCTTTGTGAGCATCGCGTTCTGCAGACACCACTTCCAACGCAAGAAAGAGCTGTTATGCTTTGTGGTTTTTTAAAAACATATCTTCGAGTGCAGTCAGCTCTGAAGCTTAATCTTCTTGCCCTTAATTAAAATGTAAAATGTTTTTTTCCTCAGCCTGATGTCATTAGGAACACACTAACAAGTCTCAGCTCATGAGCCGTTTGACTCATGAGGAGTTGTCTCTGATTCCAAGTTTGTGCAAAACTAAAAGCTTGGACGTCTGTGCCATGTAATGATAGAGCCCAACCAGTTTCCTCCAATTTGACAGCATATGCATTAAAAACAAAGATAAAAACACTGTGCAATTAACCAGTTAATGTGGAGTGTCGTATAACAGCTAGTGTGCAAAAACCTGTTGGAAATCGTTTTGTTATGCTCTCTATATGTGACAAACTGCACCTCATGTGGCTTTGGGAATTTCCTTCCTTGATGGCAGTCTGCTCTGACTTCAGTGTGCTTTCCCGTGTTTGTGGAAATGTGTGTGCAATCGGCGTTTGTATTACATGGCATTCAATTTGTGGAGACAAATGAATATGGCTCCCTCTGAAGAGTGTGTATATATAGCTGGCTACACCATATCTAACTCAACTCTTCCTGTGGCAGGTCTACAGCAGGCTAATACAGGCGTGGCTTGTTTGTGGATGTGCTTGTGTGGCTGTGAGTGTGTGTGTGTGTGTGTGTAAATTGCTGTGCAGTGCAGGAGGCCTGTATTTATAGAAACACTTGACTACACTCGGGGATCTTACAGGAGCAGTCCACTAAAGTGCCGAGAACTCTACTGTCTTCTTTCCATCCTGCATTGTTTTCCTCTGATTCAGGCCCTTTATTTATTCTTCACAGATTTGGTTTGGTCGAGTATCAACTCTGGTCTTCTCAAGTGTGTTCTATTCTAGACAGATAGGCCAAAACAGAGAAATTGTCGAGAAAGACAAGATGGAAACAAAGCCAGCCCTCTTGTGCGAGTAGATTGCAGTGTGCAGTGACTCATAATGACTCCTAACAAGTGATAGCAGTCATTGCAGACAGATGCTATGTATGGAGGCATGTAGAAATCCTGAGTAAAAGTATGTGTGTCATGAGGAATTCATAAGCTTTAATGAAATAATCCTCCTTGGGAGAAAACCCCTGCTCTGTAGTTGTTTATTAGCAGTGTGAGGAGATTTTTCTTGATGCTTGTGAGTGCATGCAGCTGTGTAAAGGTCTGCTGGTTTTTCGTGTCCTGCGTAAATCTGTAATTGCACGTCCACCCCATGAAGGAAGAAAACTGTGAAAGAAACAGTCGAACCTAGTGACTGATGCTATTTGTTTTGGAAGTTTGACTAACCTAGTACGTGTGTTTAGTAAAATATGTGTGTACAGTAGGCTCAGTCCAAATTCTGGACACAGTGACTCCTTCATTTCGACTGGGACTGTATTGACCAACATATTTATGCAATGACGTATTTGCACTAAATCTATAGAAGCTTTCATCTACTACAAGCCTTACTCTCCTGCATTCTGCAATCCTGCATGTGGTTTAAATTGCAAAGCAAAAGACGTCTGTGTGTGTTTGCGTTTGGAGATAGGAAACTAATTGGACCTTCATTCCTTTTGCCTTTGGATTGCATTCAGGAAGCAGACCCCACATCCCTCCATGCACACGCAGTTTCAGAGCACTTATGTACATCCTAAAACATGCTGCGTCCCCAAGGAGCTTAAAGGAAAACGCCTTCTTCCTCTCCGAGGCAGAAACTGTGCTCAGACTTCTGCTGGTGTCTGTGTGTGCTGCTCTGTGTGTCGTGCTCGCTTGTTTGCTTGTTTATGTGCTGTGATGATGGCGGTGTTAACCAAAGATAACTGCCATAAGTAAGTTAAAGAAACATTTACATTCTTAATGGTTGGATTTGCAGATGTGTCTAAAATCATGCACCTCTGTTTTCAAGCATGGTGAACACCTTTGATGGTGAACACCTGCTAATGGGATTTGTGTGGGATGAGATTATTTTGTTTTACTGTAGGATATTTTCTGTGTTTTAATATATTGTTGTTGGGTGGATTGGTTCTTGGCCATATTGTGAAAGATTTGTTTGAAATAGTATTTCATCAGCGTAATTTCCTTTTTTCATTTGTTCTCACACATCCAATAGGGGTTTCAGTGAAAATGGATTTGAAATAGGGAAGAACACAACTTTTAAATTTGCGCTTTAGTATATATTAGTATCAGTGTCCCTGAAAGTTGCACCAGTCAGCAGCCACACCGTCAACATTGGACAGCAATATTTGGAAAACCGCGTGTCTGAACCTACCTATTGTTCGTTTGAAAAACAAAATCAGATGTATTGGCTTAGAGCTGGTAATTTGCCCTTATCTTGGTTTGAACTTATTTTTCATACTGAGAACATTCTAACCCTCAGGTGCTCGGGCAATTGCCAATATCTCATTTTTGCATATGCCAATTTCTGTGTATAAAATCATTTCACCAGTCAACAGACTTTTTGTGGGCCCATTCTTACCACCTGAATTAAGTTGTGTGGTTGCACTACAGCAGCTTAGCTCAGCTTAAAGCTACTTTTTTTAGCGTCTGCTGTGGCCTTGTGTCTGTTTGGACATTGTGTGTAGTGCAGTGCGCCTCGTACTCACTGTTTGAACTGAAGTTAGCTACAATGGCAGGAAATTACATCATTGTTGATGACTTGCCCCTCTTGGGGCATGTACACACACAGAGAGAGAGAGAGAGAGTTACAAATTCAAACACTTGGAGCAAACTACCTTCAAACGCGCAACATGTCTGTCATTGATGAATGGGGCTGGAGAAGTGGTCTAAAGATATGTGTGTGGAATATGCGTGTCAGTGTAAGCAGCAACGCACCACCCCCAAGCTGAATGACTCCACAAACTAATGATGGTTCTCGTGTCTCATTTTTCCCTGCGCAGTGATTGAACCATAGTCCAAAAGTCAACACCACAGACGTTTTAAATGAGTCTTCTTGCTTTTCAGAGTGTGGATGAGCAGACACAGCCAGTGTAATTACTCTGGGGTGAATCAGATAGGCAGGCAGAAAGAAGAAATTGTTGGTCTTTGTCATATGGACAAAGGGAAAAAGACGTAGGAGGAGGAGAAAGCAGTCTGGAAAAGAGGCATGTAGACGTTTGATGAAAACAGGCCATTTTCTCCTTAGCGTGAAGCGCTCTGTCTTCTATCTGTTTCATTTGCAGGATGTTGACTTTAACAGTGGTTTTGATCAGAGAAAAATAAATGTCCAACACCCGAATGTCTCCTGTAGTTCAGCACTTGTTCAGTATTCTAAGATAAGTGTAGAAACGGTAGAAATTATTTCTTTATGGTGACTGAATTGGGAAGTAATGCTTTTTCCATATTCACTATTAAGTTTAGGCTTATTCTTTTGGGCCAGGGATTACTGCTAGCATGGAACAAAAATCAGCCAACATTTCTGAGGTATATCCTGTTCATCCATCTACTTTCTATACTGCTTATTCCCAACGGGCTGGTGGGGGGGGGCTCCGGAGCCTCTCCCAGCTGACAGCGGGGGACACCCTGTACAGGTCGCAGAACCATCGCAGGGCCGCACAGAGACAAACAACCACACAAACTCACTCCTAGGGACTTGAACAAGGAAGTGTTTGTGGCAATTACAACACAATACCTATCCTGGATTGTAGAGAAGGTTAGAAGTGGCTTTAAAAACATGTAGGGTTTACATGGCCGCTATGTTGAGGAAGAAACAGAGTGAATCAGTCTTTTGATGTAAAAGTAAGGGGGGGCTCACGGAAAATGGCTAAGGGGTGAGGCTGGGCTCATTTGCATATTCATTGAACCTTGCATTCTAAATGAGGCAAGGGGATGTAGTTGCGGTATCTAAGCTATTTCAAGGAACAAAGGAATTTATTTAAAAAGAAAAAAAGCAGAGTGTTGGTTTTCAAATGTAATCATTACAGTTATAACTATATTCTGTTAAAAAATAAAACTGACACTGATGTCTGGTAACCCTCATGCATCCTTCTACTAATGTTTGGTATATGTCTAAAAGCAAATAGGGCTTTTCCCTAAAACACATTTGAGGTCTTTATCCGTATACTGGTAATATATAAAGACTGATTTAAGCTAGTTTAAGCTGTCCACAAAGACCTAAAGTTGCTTAAGTCAGATACTTAAGAGACAAAAAGAGTAAGAGCCAAGCTGGAATAAGTGACCTCATGTCTTCTTTTGATCCATTCACGACCTCAATCAGACAAACTCTGCACCCACACACAGTCATAATAGCTGAAAAGGAGAAAGACAAAGATTGGTGCTTAAACACCTGGACACAGGCCATATGTATGACATCACACAAAGCTGTTGTGTTACTATAAACTGGAGTGGCTGAGGTCACATGTGGGCATAATACCACAGTGTCTGCCTGTGTGTTCATGTTTGTGTGTCTGTCTGTGTGATTAGTCACTAGCAGGCACACTCTTCTAACAAAGCTTCATTGAGTAATTGTTTTGGCGCTGTCTGCTGTACTCCTTCTCACATTGTGTGATTAAAGAAAAAAACTCATACCAGGTATTGGTAACGAATGTAAGCTGTGAGGATTTGTGCTAATCATTGTATAAACTTTTTAGGGCAGGTGAAACGATGGAAAGCATTGGATTTGGATGCTTTTTTTCTCTTATAGGAAAATGTATATGAAATGGAACATTAAAAAACCCCCCACTTCAAATACATTGTGGAAGTACAGGTGAATTTGAGAACCACAAATCACTTTCATTCAAATCACACAGTCTTTCCACTAGAGGGTGGTGTTAGTACACCAACTAATCTGGAGGATACACTCGCATAGAGGGACACCAGGGCAGAGTTTAGGCTTAGGTTTACCTTCTATATGAGAGTGAGCGCTTGGTGTGTGAGCGTGTGTGTGTGTGTGACATGTTGGCCTACTAATCCAGTGGCCCATTAATCTGCTTTACTCCAGTGCAACCATCATCTTGTCTCTCTCCCTGCTCGCTGGCTTTTGTGTGGGAGAGATGATTTGTTTCTGCCATCATTCATTCATGCAAAAAGCTGCTGAAGTTTCAGCGTTTATTTCAGACCTTCAAGTGGTATTTTTGTATTTCACTACACAGAATGATTCTTCGTCAGAAGTACATCCATTGCTGTGCATGTGCTGCAAAATTTAATCAAATTTTACTTTAAGGCAGGAATGTTTGATTCTTAATTGTAGACCCCAAATCCCAAATTCTGCTCTGCTCATATGGGAGCAAATACTTTGTCAACAAATGTATACAAACTTAGCATCATGTGTCTGATTTCTTTTTTTTGTGTGTTTGTTTTCTAAAATAAATGATTATGCCAGCATGTAAGACAAGACATTAATCATTTTCTGTGCATCTTCTTTATTAGTTACTTTAGCGCATATTTGAAGTTGTATAGGTTTGTGTCCGTATATTGAGTTAACAACGCCCTCTGAAAACGGGACAATGTGTGAAGCCTGAGGAGACGGGCCCACTTTCCACGCCGCGTGCAATTTGATTACAGTATAATTGGATTAAATGAGTAAAGTCTGTGGAACAACTGGCTGGTGCTCCCCACGTCTGACTTTCTTCTTACCCGAGAGATGGATGGCCTCTGTGTGACAGTGTGGAGTCGAGAGCATTGCATTATGACTAAGTGAGTCGCACCTCAGGGGGGCATTTGTGTCACCGACGCAGAATAGCCAGAGGCAGCACAGCACCCACACACTGTTGAAATAACTCAGACACATTTCTCCCTCCTTATGTCATTGTCAGCTGTGACTCTTTCCACTCTATTACTTCCGTGTTATTCGCCCAGATTTTTTAGTATTGTTCCATGACATGTCATTTCATCCATTTTTATCTATATTTCTATTATTTCCATTGTTGTTGCATCATCTGGTTGCATCCCCTTCCCATGACTTTTGCTGCCTATTTGCTTATCCTATGTCTCCTGTACATCTGGCTCTCTCTCTCTTTCTCCCTCCATCACTCCTGGGGGACAAAGCCGCTCCTCCCCCTTACTTCTTTTCTGTCTTTTCGACTCCCTCCCCCCTTCAACCCCCATTGCCTGCCTACTGCTTGTCTTTCCTTCCCTCCTCCCCCTCTTCCCTTCACTCCCACTCCTCGTGCTGCTCTGTATTTGTGTGCCTGTGTGATAGTAGTAGTGGCAGCGGTAGTACAGTGAGGAGGAGGAGAAAGCTGAGCTGTAAGCTTAAGTCAACATAAACCGTCAGTGCTGAGTTAGCTGGCCAGCGGAACACTCACCCACAAGCCCGGGATTTTGCCTTTTTCCAATTTAGGGGTCTTTGAGAAGGGGATTAAACTACTTTTTTCCCTCTTCTCTTCCCCTTTCTTCTGTAAATGGAGGGACTATATCATGGTAAGTAAAAAAAAGAAAAGAATCATCATATAATGTTTTAATGTAGTTGGTTGTATGTAGCAGTTGATAACTTGCATGTTGAAATCAAGACTTTATTTTATTTTTGCAGCCACTAAGGTGAAACCAATGTATTTATTTATGTTTAGATACAAAATAACAGATTTTTTTGTCCTTTTATGATATTGAGAATAAGAAAGAGAGTCAAAGATACTTAAACTGGAGCTGACACTGTTCATTGATTCAAATGTTTGATTTATATGTTGCGTAGAGAATAACAGTTTAATAAAAAATACAGTAACACAGTTATTATTAACTTTGAGTAATATATGGAGTTCAGTCAGATTTGCATATTCACCGGTGATGACTTTTCCTTTGACAAAATGATTTGTTGCTGTGTTACTTCAATAAAAGGCAGATTCATCAATAATGAATTGGAGCTACTTAAGGCCTAAGAAGAAACTATTTCAGTTTTAATCAGAAGATTTAAAACTTGGTTCTAGTCAGGTTTCCCAATTCTGTTTTGTTTCTAACAATTAGTTCTTCATCATGAGAACAATTGTATCCTCTATACCAGTGTGTGTTCACGTTGCTCAAGGTGAATTTGATGTTATTTGTCTGTTTAGAGTATGTGTATATGTTGATGGTTTGTTTCTTGTTTGGAATCTAGCTATATTTTATCAACTTAAAATATTTAGATCAATGAACAATGTACGTTGTGATTTCCCTCTCTCATTTACTATACACCTGGTTATGAACCTTCACCAAAATTTCATTCAAGTGTGTTCTGCTGAAACTTTAAACTTTATTTTTAGATATTCCTGCCCTAGAAAAAAAGATTCGGGACACCAAAAAAGTTGAGTTCTTTTCATTGTATGAAAGAACTTCAGGTGCGTGACTCTTTTCCTTCATGGTTACTTATGAAGTAGGTCAAGTGCATCTCGACTGGATTCTGCCATCTACCAGCAGTGAGCAAAGCTGCTGACAGAAATGTGTTTATTGGTGATTTAGAATGAACATTTAATTTGGGCTCTTGCACTACAGTTCCCCAGTGTTTGCCAGAATAGAGGAAGCTTTCAATATTTAATATTCCATTTGATTTTCCTGTCACGCGTCTCTCGGATGACGTGTTTCCATTTGGAAAGCAAAATATGCTTTAATCTATAACCCGGTTGTTTAGTCAAATTTAGCAGAAAGGAAATACTGGAATTTACCAGTGATTTGAAGGCTTACTCTATCTCACCAGTTCACTTGCCCTAAATCTGTAGTGTTGAATTATACATGCTGTATCTGGTGTGAGGGTGATACGTTACCATGCGCGCAGCTCCCAGTAAGCCAGTTAGCTTTATCACTGCACCTGAACGCTGCACAATTGAGCCAATATGTGTGCTGCAGTAGGGGCTTTCACTGATAAACGTGTGAGAGCAGTCATCCGTTTCCCTGACCTTATTATGTTGTGCGGTTGTCGACCTTATCTTGAGGGGCGAGCATCATCTGTGCGTTTGGTGTGAGCGCGGGCCCTTGCATTTTATTTAGCCCTTGACTCATGTTGAATAATCGCTTTGATGTTTATCTGAACGTGAATAACGACCTGAGAAAAGGCACCTGTGCTCAGGTTAAGGCGATAAACTGGAAAAGCGAAGCTTGATCGGGACTTTTTATTTGTTTGCTGCTTTTGTGTGTGAAAAACTGACTTTGTCACTCACATCACGTTGGGGGTCATTGTCAACATTTTTTTAAGCATGATAACCATCCTCTTGTGTGTGTCCAGCCATCTTACTGGAATGCTTTCTGAATTTGGCATAAACCCACTTTCTTTTTACTCTGTTACAGACCAAAGAGGTCATTTATATTTTTCAGTTTCATAGAAGTCCTTAGAAAACAGAAAAATGTCAAACAATCAGTGCATGGACCTTTTCTTAATACACACAGATTGTGGTCCCTCTGTCTGTGTGTGTGAGGCTGGCAGGTATGTTTGTTTTCTTAAGCATCATGCTCTTGCACTGTAAAACTGCATGCCCTAGTAGCACCTCGTTGTTAAGTCTTACACACACACACAAACGCACGAAGTGTAAAAGTGTGTGCCAGCTTACTTTGCAGATTAACCATTAAGCACAGAGCAACAAGACGGAACAGCTGGCTGCTTCTGAGAAGGAAAGGTTTTTTTCCTTTCGTACGGAGGAAGGACATCTGCGTATGCTTCTTGGTTATTTCCGTCTCTCACTGTTGCATCAATCTGCATGGTGTAAAATGTATGTTTAAGATGGCTGCGACCTTTTAAATTTGGACTGTTTCAATTACTAACCTTACATTGCTCTGTTTGACCTAACCAACAGTACATCCAATGGAACTACTAATTTAAAATCGGTAGTTTTGGACGCCATTGATTTGATGTCTCTGATAAGTTTTCTGTATAATTACAGTTACTGAGAAACCTGAGGAACGTGCAATTATACACAGCCTTGAAAAGATAGTTGAGAGTGCCAAAATGCACTGAGACGCTATCTGTCTTTTAAGGTCTTTGATGACAGTCTTCTCTTGACAGAGAGAACCGTGACAGTGTTTTAGGACATTTTTTGTTCAAAGTCCAACAAGCATCCTTTATTGAGTACCAGGCAAGTGCAACTCTCAGTGGTGAATGAAAAAAGACTTCAATTGTATTCATATATTAGGCATAACAGCGTTTTATGATCACAGAAATAATGAAATTGCACATTTGTTGTCTATTTACTCCATGGAGTCATTATCTAATCATGTGAGTCCCCGGCTAACAGTCTGTCGTCGCCCCACTCAGCCCTAATGGAACCCTGTCTGAGTAGGTTGTAGCTGTTTAGTGGGGCCAGCCTCTGGTGGAAATGCAATAATATCGTTTAGAGCCGTGCCGTGCTGTGCCGCGCTGAGTAGGCACTAGTGGAACCGGGCCATTTGATAGGTACATGAAGCCTGTGTGACTTAGTGGTTTCTAATCAGCCCTGTGGCAGAACACAGGACCAAGGAACAAATCTTAGCAACGTGTTTGTTAACATTAGTTTCATCATTTGAATCAATAAATGACTGTTTTTAGTTTATTTCACTGACATGAAAAGTCAAATGTGTTCTATGGCTTTAGTGTGGGCTGTAGCAATGCCAGCATGGCTGCAGATCTCAGGCTACACAGCACTTAGAACATTTAGTGTTTTTAGCAGAGGCAGAGAAAGACAAATAGAGACTGAATGGTGCTCTGACAGCTTCTGGGGGACAGATGGTGTCTAGAGGTTTCAGGTCTATTTGGATGTCATTATAGACACTTACAGACATCCTCTGTCATCACAAACTGCTCTGAATCGGGTTACTGTGGCCCATCTTAGCCTCACAGGATAGGGTTAAAGCATTTAGAGCGGCTGCCATTTGTTACCGTATATTTGGTGGGATGATGCATGGCAACTGAAGTAATGAAAAAAAATGATGATAAAAAGACTCAAGATGAAGTGTCAGTAAACACTTGCTTTGACTTCCATTTTGACATCACTGTGCAGAGAAGTGTCTAAATATTTTTTTGAGGACTTCACAGAAAAATAATGATGCACTTCCTGTAATTCCCACAGTTGAAGAAATGTATATAACGCCACTTGTCACCCTTTTTTTTTTTCACACACACTGTCCCAGTCTCATATTAGCAGGTATCTATGAATTGCTTTTCTGTTCAGCTCACCTTGTCATTGTGTGTATGTGTATGTGTTCACTGGGTGTCTAAACATTTAGGGTGTCTAAACCCCTCAGTTTTTGACCTTCTACACATAACCCTATCACAGCCATAAATGGGTGTTAGGTTCCAGTAAGGCATTTCCTGGGCTTTCTGGTGGACTTGGAGAGCTGGTTAATCAATGCTGTCTCATATGTCACAGCAGCAAATCAATAGCATGAGAAGGACTGTCATTATTAGTTGTGAGTCCTTTTCTAAAGGGATGTTTTACACTAACTTATCATTTTGTGCTTTTAATGAATTAGGAATAGAATGCAGAGAAGATAAATCATTAGAATAATTTCATATAGAAATTCTGACATATGAACTTTGTTATAGTTATAGAGCTCTCATAAAAGGCAATGTCACAACGTACTTCACAAAAAATAAGAAGAACAAGAATAAAGGAAAATACAGGCACTATACTCTGCCAAAGAAAGATCAAGCCTACCGCACAGTGCAGTCAAACAAAGGAAAATCTGGATTTGAATTTTTTTTTAAAGAAACTTTTTGGTAATACTCACATTGATTGAGCAACTTAAAACAGTTTCCTGTTCCCTATTGAACACGGAGCCACCACCCAACCTTGATCAGAGCTCAGAATCAATACTAGTCTCTAAATACAAGAAAAATAACTTTAAGCTCGTTTCTGTAAATGACTACAAGTCTCTGTGAAGAAATTAGGTTTGACCTTTTCATAGTTTTTGTACTCTGGCTGGCAGTGTATTCCTAAGCTGGCTAAAACAGGAACACACTACAAAGTTTACATGCTGATAAATGCTTGAATTCTCACATATGAAAACCCCAAGACAGAAAACTCCATATTACCTGTGTTCAGCTAAATGAAATTGTCTGCCCTCCAGTCTTTTATGGACTGAAGGAGTTCTCAGAAAAACTGAAGAGCCAGTTAAAATCACCTTATATACCCACTTGATGAGCCTATTAAACATAATATGATGTCCATAATCTAATTCAGAAATGAGAGGACAAGGACAAACGACATAAAAAAGTTACAATTTCCTTTTGTCTCCATCATCCCGCCCTTCTTCCTCAAACTGAAACCACCTGCTTTACAGAACTTTTATTCTGTCCTTGAGAAATTTTGGAAAATTAGAAAAAGGAAGCTCAGTATTGAAATCTAGACGTATACTTTTAAGGATGAAATTGTGTTAGTCCCTTTACATGATGGAAAACAGAGGAAACGCATAAATTCTCTACTCAAAGCAACCAAAGGTGTCAATAAAACCTATTTTGAGCAGCTTTAGTGGCATGTCCCATTTTCCTGTTGAGCTGTTGCCTCCAAACAAAGGCTAAAAGGTTAAATCCCAGTCTGTGTGACATCCTCATCGAACAGCTGCCAGACCCGAACTCTAAACAATAGTTCCGTTTTGTGGCGTTTCCCGCTCTTCTCTCCTTTTCTCTATAAAGCAATAAAGCTATAGCACATCAGGAGTTGGGGTAAATTATATGACAATTGGTTATTGATTTTAAAAAGGGAATCGATGTCCCTGAGAAAAGCGTTTGCAAAGACAGGACATTGATTGATTTTTAATCTATTTAAATTAGCATAATTTGAGGAGCAGGTCATGATAATTCCCCCCAAACATCACATCCAGTAACTGAATTGTCGACACCTGCTGTGGGACTTAACCTAATAAGCTCGCGATGAATGTTTGTGTTGACTTTCTGATTTATTAGTTTGGAAGCCCATCCTTTAACGGACCAATTGTTGTTTCTCTGCTTGTCTTTCAGATATTTCCAGGATTGCCTACTACACAGGTGAGCAGCCGACCCCCTGAACCTTTCAGCTGCCCCATCACTCATACACAGTCTGAAAAGCCATTTATAGCCTCGGGAAAAGTAACTCAGATCATTTGAATTTTCCACTTATTGCTTTTAATCAGATCTTGAATTAATTCAGTTTTCTTTATTTTATTCAACATAAGACGCACAGATTATGCAGTAATGTTATGAAATATATTTCTTATATTGGCTATAGTGTGTCAGTTTGTAGAATTGTTTTAATAGCTTTTCATACATTACTACTTAATAATAATTAATTAAGAAAATGACAACAGGAAAACGGTTACACACATGTCATTGTCATTTGGTGACAAAACAGTGCTGAAGACAAGTGATTAATTATAAATGTTCACACTGGGGATAACAGATAAAATGAATATTTTCTTTTCAAAACACTTTAAATTGCCAGCGAGTCTGATGACATAAAGTAGTTATCATAGAAATGAGTAACCCATGGCACCCTGAAAGCAGGCTTTTTTGCTCTTTTATTGCACATTATTTAATCTCCCAGCATGCTTGAGTTCAGCTTTGTTGTTATAATTGTAGATATGTCCACAGATTTCAGCTTTTTCATACCTGCAATCATCACCTTGTGTCATTCATCTTATCATATGATGAATTTCCCCTTCAGTGCATCGAAACACTTTGGTCTGTTTAAAAGATCCCTCTGTGGTGTGACATGAGTTTAACAATAGCTACTGCCAGCTGTGAGGAAGTAAAGAATGACAAAGGAAGGGAAGAAGAGTTGGTATGGGAGGATGCAGATGTTTTTACCATCATGTGTGTTTTTATGTTATATTTCACTGTATTTACCAGGTTTGGGTTCATTCATTGTTGAATTTCATTCAGTTACAAGAACGTTTGAATGGAAAACGTGTATAATATTAAAGAATAGGCCCAGCCATTCTCTACAATCTTTTAGGATTGAAGGTGTAATTTTGTCCGGGTCAGTTTGCTGGAATAATCTTTTTCCAGAAAGATGTGTTTTGAATCATCTGTGATCCTAAGAGCAGAGTTACCAAACCATAGGAAAGAATTAAAGCTGACACACTCATTTCTTAGTAGATTGCCTTTAACATCCAAGATGAGCCAAAATGGATCTTATTTATCTAATCTTATCTTTTAACAGGTGAAAATTAAGTTGTAAAATGTACATAATGCAGAAGCTCATGCTTCCAGCCAATAATAAGATAATTATGTTCGAAAACACAAGACGAAACGGTAACGGGGACACATTTGGCTCGGTCCCAAAACAGCTCTTCCCATTCATGCAGCATCCGGCCCTTTGACAAAAGGCTTTCAATAGCCCACATACACACCAGTACGCACATGCACACACTCAAACACCCCCCTGATCGCGCTAGATTTTCATAACAATGCCCGAGATGGACCACAAATGATTGGAAACCCACACGTACACCCACACAAACAAACGCACACTCAAATAACTCGTCAGCTACGTCGTTTGACAGAAACACAAACTTCAACCATTCTGTGCCTCAGTGTTTGTTTTTGCTCGGTGATCGACTGAGACTTGTTCAGAGTCCTTGTGTGTGCGCGTGCTGGCTGGTTTTGCAGAACACTCGTTCAGATTGTGCTGATGTACTCTGTGAGGGGGCATGGTGGTTGCACATTAAAAGGTGTGGTCAGTTTAAATCTTGAGATTTAGCCGTGGATACGTTGGCAGTTGGCTGGTTTACCTGCTGATGTAGCTGGGACAGTGTCTGTGTTTGGGAAAAGTCTGTTTCCACCTATCCTTTTTTTATTTAATTCAAGTAGTTTTGTTCCATGAAAATTTATCAGGAAGGAGCATGTTCATATTTGCTTGCCATCTCAGTGATTTGTTTTTTGATAACTAGAGTTTTTGTCATTTTTAAGTAGCTATGAGGGACGTCTCTATTAGCTCTAGATAAGGGCTTTTCTGCGGTCAGCGTCATAAGCAGAATTGGGAGGGTTTTTTATTGAATGCAGGGGACAGGATTTGCATATTAATGGTATCTGGCTCCTCCTGCTCCTCCAGCAGCCCTCTCCTGAGCTCCCTCATTCCCCACTCAACTTTCTTTCAGTTGTGTTGCTCTGTCCTCCTCTTCCTCTCATTCACCCTCAAACAATTGCGGCATTTCTCCCTGTCCCTCTGCCTCTACCTCCTTTGTTTAAACGGCTTAATCGTTACTCTCACTTTCTGTTTCCAAGAGAAGAGGCTAACCTTCTGTTTGTTTCGTACTGAGCACAGTAATTGCTTCTCTTTCCCTGTGACCGCTGACCAACTAAAGGCTCTCTGGATCTGCCCCGTACAAGCTGGATTTGACTTTGAGCTTTTGTTGGAGGAGCACTTTTCGGACCAACACAGGGACTGCACTGAGTGAAATAAGCCAAATTCCCTCCTGAGCGACAGTTGGTCCACACCTCCTCGGCAACTCTGTAACTATGGAGCGCAGGCATGAAGCAGAGATTTAGCAAAAAAACAAGCCATGCATTTTCATCAGAGAGGGTCCACTGAGGACGAAGTCAGAAGACAAAAAGGACGATGCAAGGAGTTTGTTGATCAAAGTAACGCTGTGTCCCGGGGGATCTTTTTTTTGTCTTAATAACAGGAAAAGATTAAGAAAGCAAGCCTTCACAAAGCAGCGACTCTTCAGAGGATGTTTAGCTTTTTTTCATCTTGATGTGTTGTTTTGAAGGATTTTCACTCCCCACAAGTACAAACACTGGAGGCTTTTTGTGGATTTTCGCCTCTGTGGAAGTAATCTTTTGCAACCCTGAGGTTTTTTGTCTTAGGGGACGGGTTTGTGTTGGGACTATGTAAGTCTTCTTCCTGTTCTGTCAGGATTTTGGTGTTATTCGGTGGTCCTCTGCATTCAGTAAGTCCTGTGGTGGGTCTGTGATGCGAGGCTGCGAGGCAGCAAGTTGTCTTTCTGTCCTTGGTGCGGACAGACACAGGGAGGGACTGACATGCATTTCCATGGCAACCAGTGGCTGTAGCCCTTTCCCCATGTGCTGGGACAGAGGTATGAATGAAATCTCCTTTATGCACGCACACACGCACACACACACACACACACACACACACACACACACACACACACACACACACACACACACACACACACACACATCGAAAAGCACACAAGGAGCACGAAACAAGGCTTCCCAAAGTGACATCTGACTCCATGGGAACTGAGTTGGTGTAAAGCCAAAGCTAGCAAAGCTCCGCTGAGGTTGTGCGTTGTATGTTTGCTTGTGTGTGCAAGACAAAGAGCAACATGGTCACTTCTTGACAAAATTCTAATTATGATTTTCAACTGGCGCTTCAAATCTGGAGCAGTTGTCTTCTGTTTTCAAACTGTATCCTTCAACATCTTCCAACGTATTCTATTAAGTTATGTCTGTGTGTGTGAGAGAGAGAGAGAGAGGCTTTCTCCATCAGCTGTAATTACCTACAAGACCATATCCTTTTTCTGTTAATGGTGGAATGAGGAGGCGACAGGACGGAAGGCAAGCAGAATTAAACCTGGTTGTAGATCGTATTACAATAGTGCCTACTGGCACTTATCAAGCTCACAGCGACGTCATGAAGGTATTTCTCTGTGAGCTTTTCCAGATAAAGTCGGAGGAAGTGTGTCAATGTCAGAACTTCTCATCCTGGATGAAATGGCGGCCTGTGGTGCATTGTCTTCTCTGTGTCGTAGACCCAGGGGCTTGCATAATGAGCCTTGACCTGGACTGCACTTCTCTCCCTGTTTTCTCTCACCCGCATCTTATTGTCCATTGTATTTCATCTTGCCAAAGAACAACTCCAGGATAATAGATGCTTGCTGTACAAAGTTTGCGTCAAGGAGTGGAAAGGTTCGGAGGGAAACGGGAGCAGGGATGATTCAGAGGTGCAATAGCTGTCGGTAACCAACAGCAGAGAGAAATAAGCACTCATGGACAGATTTATAGTCAACAATTGTTATTTTAGTCATTTAGTAATTAGTTTTCATCGATTGAGAAAAAAAAGTGCTTATTCTGTGCCTCCGATGTTGGTTATTGGACAGACTTCAATCTCTTTTCTACTTTTGTTATGTAAAAGAATCAACAACTTATTTCCCCCTGGAAAAATATTGGTATCTTTGACAATGACAGTAGACATTAATTCTGTCCCAACTTCTTTACACAAATGCTATTTGCACCAACTTCTGCGTTCCGCCTAACTCCAATTTCTAATTCAATAGGCCGTCTAGGTTTAGGAATTTATTTGGTGCTTTTGTGATTTCTTTAAAGCTCAGACTTTTGTTTCCTCTGCAGAATATGACAGACACCTAGCAGCGGCAGTGTCAGCGGGGAAAACCATGGCGACAGCCTACCTGGAACCCAACCTGAACAATGCCTTCCTAGATGGTGCCAAATCACGACTAAGCGCGGGGGGATCGGACCGAACCATGGCTGGCTCCGTGGACAGAGTTTTGAAAGTCTTCCATCACTTTGAGATTAACACTGACCACAGCTTCTGGTCCTCCAACATCAGATATGGAGATGCGACTGATGTCAGGGTAAGGAAACCAGTCATCCTTATGCTGACATGTGATTGGTCAGTGTGAGATTGTCTCAGATCCAAATGAAGACTTTTGAGGATGAAGCTTTAAGACACTTTATCATAATACAAACAAAAAAAAATTGAGATGGAACATAGCATTCCATCTCTAGAGTACAGATCCAAAATTTCTCTCTGGTTGCACGTGAAGGTCTTGCCATTTATTTAGGCTGAGCAGTGCCAGTGAAACTACTAAAAATGAATAGAAAAATATTCGCAGCCATTATGATGGCTTTCACAGCCATCTCCATATCTCAAAGTTTTACAGTTTATACTCAGCAGCAAAGTTACATTTTCTTTTAAATGCATTTTTTCCATTGAGTGTTCGTCCCCTGTTCAAGGTTGCACTCGTTAGCTCAGACAAATGGCATGCGACACAGGGAGATTCCTTTTTATTTATTTATTTTTGCTTGCGTGTAACCTAAGGGGGGCATTTCTTTAATTTTGTCCAGTAGTGTCATTGTACTTTGCTGATCCAACCATGACACAGACACTATTGAGCACTGTGGAGATTGCTAAGGGTCATACAGGGCATGTCAGAGCAGATCTGGGTTTTGCTCTTCTTCTTTCAGCTTTCTCATCATCAGTATCTAGGTCAGACCCCCCCCCTAGCATTTTACATGGCAACACACGCTTCTGTGAGCATTATTGTGGGTGTATGATGTCTGCCAACTTGTTTGGGTGGGAACGTCACGTTAAATCGCTTGAAGTCGCCTCCACTAATAAAAAGCCCGCACACACAAATGCAGGAAAAAAAGGGAGGCTTTCCTTGACCTGATACCAAAAGCCAGCTGTAAACACAAACACTCTTGGCCCAATTAGGGCCCATGTCCACACAGCACTGTGCTCGGACAGAGAAGTGGTGGGAGAGCGGTCAGAAGTTTCTGTTGCCAAGGTTTCACTCTGACACAGCAGAACTTTATTATTTCTATTTCTATTTGATTAGCTCCTTTTTGTTGAAGTTTTCTTGAGCATGTCATATAAAGTGTTTTTGTCAAAACCCGACCTGTGGTGTAATGGGAGGTCGGCCTGATGTACAAAACGCTGGAGACAGCCGAACCACTAAAATCACTGTTTCATGCAAGAGCTGCTAGAAGGGTGAGGCTGATGTTGGGCTTTGTAGGAGCAGCTTTAAGTCGATTTGAGCTTTTTGATTTGTCAGAGCACAACTTTCAGGAAGACGATAAGCCAAGCAAAGCCTCTGGAGGTGGATGGGGGGGGCTCAAATCTCTTATCTCCTCCTTGACTGCAGGGCATCATTCAGAAGATTCTGGACATCCACAAAGTGCGCTGGACTTTATGTTTCGGCCTTCGTCTCAGTAACAGCCAATCCAGAGACCAGGTGCACTGGCTCCACCCAGATATGGGCGTGTCCCACATCCGAGAGAAATATGAACAAGCTCGACCAAACGAGGAGTGGAGGTAACATAAGACAAGTGTTTGTGTGTTTGCATTTATGATGAACTCTGCTGTTTGGATAGTTGTCATTGGGTTACAATGAATAAACTTAATCAGTGTACAGAGGTGTAAATGAAGGGTTAAGTTGCGCCTCGTGAAGTTGCAAAGCTACAAGTGGACCAAATATACACAAAAAAATACAGTTATCTAAGTCAATTTCTGTTTTGCAATCTGTGATGTGTTAAATCGCCTTTAAGTCTGTATAAATTTTCTGAATGTACAAATGCATCCTGATCTAAATCTCTGTGTCTTCATTAAATTGGATTTCTGGTTAGATTCAGTCTTTATTTTGATAGATAAGACTTCAGATGTTTGTCCCAGTATATGAAATAACAATCTTTTTCTTCATGGAGAGTTGGATGAAAACTCTCCTGCAGCTGCCTTTAATCTTTTCTCTCTCGATTGGATTACTTTTGGACATTGGCAGATTTTTTCTCTGAAAATTGTGACATTCACACAGTACTTTATGTTGTAAATTTTATATTTGGCTCTGTTTTTATTCAGAGCTTCACAATCCCACAAATTTTTACATCTGAAATGTATGAACGGATGCAATCAATTTCTCCCTGTTAAATTTAGCTGAGAATTGTTCTCTACTTCTTTAATGGCTGCACATTGTTTGACAAGCTCAACTAAAAGCGTATAAGCTTCAAGGGTGTGAAGTAAAAGGCATACACCAACACACAGTGTTAGAAAATTTGATCAAAAACTCATTTGTAATGTTCTTTTTTTCTCTTTTCAACCTGTTCGATGTCTGTGCTTTTGTTACCGTGCAAAACCAACCAAACGTTCACTCCACTGATTTGGGGAAGAAACGTCTTTAACGAACACAATCTCCTTTAGGAGAGCTGAGCTCACAGTTTTCTAAGCTGTTCCCTGCTTTCAATTGACATGATTTATTTGGCTCCCGTAAATCTAGCAAAAGTAACTGGTTGTCCAAATAGCCAGCATCAGCAGCCGGTTGTTTTTCGGTCCAAAGTAGCAGCTATGATTTATTTCCAACCACGTCATGAACAATAGTGTTACCTGTCTGTTTTGTGGTCTTGTGAGCCTGTGTGTGTATGTGTGTGTGTGTGTGTTGCTGTGAGGCTTTGGTGGTACGGTAGTTAGGATGTCTATAACATGTTTATTGTGGCAGCCTTAATGCTGAAGCTATTGTGAGGAGGAGGTCCTTTGCTCCGTGAACATAAAGGGTAAAAGAGGGAGCCAGATGACGGCTTTGTCCGACTAAGTCAACAACTCTCTCTATGTAAACTCACTTCACACTTCTGCGTATTTGACTAGTGCACATTTATTGTCTTTTTTTTAATCATCCTTCTGCTCTCTACAATTCTACTGCCCCAATTAAAAATTATAATGTCAATTTAAAGCAAAACAAAGTGATTTGTAAATCTTATAATCCAAAACATAAAACAGAAACATCTCAACATGGAGGAGAGTGACTCTGCCCCTCTTTTTCTTTATGTCCAATGTTGTCTTTATGTTGTTGCCAATAAATATTAGTTGAAAAATGTTGTTCTTCATTGTTTTTTTAGTATCACTTAGTGTCCTTCTTTCTTGATATTTTGATAACCCCCTCCTATTTTTCCTCCTGGCAGATACCATTAACAATGCTTTCAAATTATTCATAAAATTAGCCAACGTCTTTATTCATTTGCAAAATTAATGTGCCACATGGAGCATGTTAACTATTTAGTGCAAAGCTGGTAGCTCATGCCATCCCCAAAGCAAATTGTACAGAACCAGTTAGACATGTCCCAGTATCACTGCTGGTACTGTCTGTGCTTAAAAGTTTGATGGAAACATTTTGGCGAAGCTTTGCGAAACACCCTTCATCACTATATTTTGTCCTTCTTTATAGGTATGAGCTAAGGATCCGGTATCTACCAAAGGGCTTTGTGCAGCAGTTTACAGAGGACAAACCAACACTCAATTACTTCTACCAGCAGGTACACAGAGAAACACACGTGTAAACACACAGAGGCACTCAGACACTCGGTTTCTGCCAGCTGCCAGCGTTGAGACATATGGCAGTGCTGCAGGACTATTCCTGTTTGTCTCTTGATAATTTAGGTCAGTAGGACTGCTCGTGGGTTTCTGCTGTGGAGATAGATGGCAGGCTGTTTGTTTTGGACAATTAAAGCTTTTAGGTGACCTTTGTCTGTGATTTATTTGTGTCTTCCAGGTGAGGAACGACTACATGACACAGATTGGAGATCAGGTTGAACAAGACATAGCTCTCAAGTTGGGCTGTCTAGAAATCAGGTGAAACATGCTCACTGTTAAGGCTTTTCTTTTATGTATCTCTGTTTCAGTCTCTCTACCCATCAAGCTACACTAGATGGAATTTAGTTTCCAGTAATCTGCTGCCATTGTATCTGATTTTCTTTCTTTGTTACATTTCCAGGCGATTCTTTAAAGAGATGAGAGGGAACGCTCTGGACAAGAAATCCAACTATGAACTACTAGAGTAAGTGTTTTCATAATGAGAAAAGAACAGCTACAGTGTACGTCAGTTTTGTTTTGCACTTCATCTCTCAGCTTATCCAGAAGTCGCCTCCAAATTGCACTGGTGCTCTGTTATAGCTGGAGCCTTTTTTTGTAACCAGCAGTCTGGGTCATAAATCTCAGTAAAGTAGCAAAATGTCAACCTTTGGTCCATCCATGCTTTCCATTCCTATAAGTCTGGATAGACAGGAGCTAGCTAAATATATTTAGGCTAATTTAGGGGTTTGAAGATCACACAACATCCTGAAAACACAGATTCTGCACATATTGTAATTGTTACGTTGTACGGTTCGACTGTGATTTAAAATGCTGTCAGAGGAGAAACTTTTCGAAGCATTGTTTCTACTCTTCTGTTGTTTGTCCCACTTCGGGCTCTTTGATTGGTGACCATCAATGAAGAATTAACTTACTGAGGTCTAAATGAGGCTTTGCTCTAATACGGTCTGATTCTAATGAGCTGCCCCTTTCCACTGAAGCCTTTCTTTCCGTCAGCCTAACGAGCTCTCCATTTAACTGAGAGGCATTCCCACTGTCTCTCCACTGGTATTGCTTTGTCCTTTTATGTTCTCAGTCCTTCCCTCACATCCTCAGTTTTTTTCCTCCGTCTTTCCTCCTTTTTGTTCCTCATTTAGCCTTTTCTGTTACTTAACTTGCTGTCTCTCTGTTGACGGGAAAGAAAATGCAGGCCCACGCATATTCTAGACCAGCAGGAGAGCCGAGAGAAAGTCCTGTTCAGGCTTTGATAAAACGGTTGAATATAAGAGGCTGCTGAGCTCTTGCAATGAGAAACTCCCATTGCAACCTGGGGGATTGCTTGGTACTGTAGTTGGCTTATGCCTGCTGTTTTACTCTTTGTACTCTTTAGCCGTTATAGACTTTTATAGATTTTATGAGGGTCAGGCCTTTTTGTGCCCACACTGTCAGACAGCACCTAATGAACTGATTCCCACCCTTTTTGACTGAACATAAATTTGGCAAACCACAAAGATGGAACCGTGGTATTGATTTGAGGCGCGACTCTTTGGAGAAGCATAAAGTAGAAAGGATGACGTCTTCTATTTGCTCTCTCGTTACCCTTCCTTTCCTCCTCCCCCGGTACTCTTCTTTTCCTCAGAGGAGTATAAGTCATTAGTAAGCTTCCTGTTATAGCTCTGCACATCTTTCTTTGTCTGTGTGATTCCCCTTTTTCGGCTCATCCCAGCCTCTTTTCATCTCTCTCCTTCTGCTTTTCTTCAGCCCTGTCCCTTATGAGGAGCTTTGAAGTCATAGCTTTCTGTTTCTGGTCATCTTCCTGTTTGCCAAACTGTATCTGTCTGAAGCTGTTGTTTGTCATTTCTCATTAGACGAAAAGCAGTATACTTGATCAGATACAAAGAAGAGCGCTTGCCAATTAACATTCCTCAGAGCAGTTACAGCGTGAGCCACATTCTGATCTTTATCTCTTCTTGTTTCTCTTTTCAGGAAAGATGTTGGCCTGAGGCGTTTTTTCCCAAAAGAACTGTTGGACTCAGTTAAGGTAAGATTATTGGTCCTCATTAAGCGCGGCCTACAGTGTTATTCACAAAGTTGCTCAAAAGGACACCATGATCTTTATTTGTTTGTGAAATATTTGTAGAAGAAATCATTTATAAGGTTATGACCAAAAGAAGCCTGGTTTCTTTCCCATGTAGCGTCCTCCCAGCAGCTTGTGCTGCTCTGGCTGCTCCAGTGGAGCCTGTCAAGTTACCAAAAACATTTTATAGGCAGCCTTCTGATGTAAAGGAAGGTTTTTATGAGCAAAGTTTTAGCATGTGTTACTTTATGTGTTGTTGGGAATTGAACTGTCTGGCAGCAAAACAAGAGAAAAGTTTAGTAGTCTAGACTTCATTGAGTTAAAAAACTTGACCAACCAACCAGTGGAGGTGAGATGAATGGAGAAAGAAGTAGGGAAGAAGAGTACATGAACTGAGTTTGATGAATGATAATTTCAACAGTTTAACACTACCTCCATACAAAGTCTCTATTAGTTATTTAAACCTAGAATATCAGACTCGAGTATGCATTGACGAGCAGCTGACATCGGTTTAGGTGATGTCAGTTCAAGTTTACACTAAAGTTTGAAAGAAAATTGAATTTTTCAGTTAAAAAAAACAAAAAAAAACCCAATTAGGAACACCCTTGGAATAAAAAAAGACAATCAGCCCATTTGTGTTTAGGCTGATTTAGCATGTGTGCCTTTCGGCTGCTGCAAGTTCCTCCATGTGAGCAATGTCTGGGCCAATGATGAATTTACGGCACGTGTTTCAAGGGAGGATCTTAAGTTGTATGCGAGTGCATGTGAGCATTAAAGGCTCAGTGACCCGAAAAGGTCTTAATGTCAGCAGGCGGGCAGACAGATGCTCTGCAGAGGGAGTGCTTGTATATGTATATTGTGTGTGTGCGACCCCAAGGTCATGGTTAAACCCACTTTCTCTTTTCAACAATGAGGAAGGAGAGGGAGGCGTCAATGTGCCTCTCACTCTGTGCCCCCCCCCCACTCTCTTTCAAACCCTGCTGACTCCCCTCTCATCAGCTGCCTCCTTACCTCCTGTTCTCTCTTCTCCTCTTCTTCTCCATCATTCTGTCCCATTATGGCTGTTTAAAAATGCTTTGAGAGAAAAGCACACATATGCAGTTCAATACTTTAAAATGACAAATCTGCCTTGGTTTAAGACACCTGGACTTGCGTTTCAAAAACTAAGTAGCTCCGATTATTTGAAAGATGTAATAGAGGACCAGTTAGATTTTTGTTTAGAATGAGGGAAAGCTGTCTCAAGATCTTTACAATGTGAGATACAGAGAATAGAACATGGGTTAAAAAAACAACTTGTTAGTAAGAAAAATATGTAAAAGCAACCAATTTAATGTGCGATATATCAAACAGATTTGATGTGTAGCACAATCAATAAATGGATCATTTTCATTGCGATGTATCTGAACTTTTTGGAGGTGGTCGATATTTGATCCTATGAAGCATCATGAAAATAAAAAATACTTCCAGCACATACAGACTTGACTGTTTCTCTCTTTAGAGCATTCACATTTATTCGTCCAATTAAAAAAAAAAGAAAGAAAAAAATTGAACAAGTTGAGTAAACGTTCGAAACAATATGTTTATCGACATACCGACATCAGAAAATATACAGAAAAACACCAAATCCTTCAAATCCAAAACAATGGAGCCACACATCAGTGTGGGGGTAATGATCGAAAAGGTTTATGGTTGTGCTGATGTTAAATTATACAATTTCTTGTGGGTGTTTGTGTGGGTGTGTGTGTGTGTGTGTGTGTGTCAGAGATTGCACAGCTGTCATTTACGTGTCTGTTGTTCACTATGGTGAAAGAGAACGGTAGACATTTAATGGGATTATTCTCCCTCAATGGACTCTACTTGTACGCACACACTTACGCACACGCACTCACACACAAACCCAGAGCAGATGGCGGTGGTAGTAAACAGTGACTGATGTTAGCTGTTATAAAGAGCAGAGTCTGTTCATTCATATCGCCAGGCTGGGCAGCAGGTTTAGTGGAACTGACCTTTGGAGATCAAAGCTTGAACCAGCCCCAGCTTGATTTGACAGGCCCGTGCCCCCCCCCCAAATAAAAAGCATATTGAAATGCTGTCACACTAAATTAAAAGAGACTTCTTCTTATTGGTGTAAACTGTGATGAGCCGCAATGTTAAAATAAGTCTGACACCTCCGGGCTTATGGTGTCTGGCACCAGCTCATCAGTGCCAGACACACTCATTACACACCTTGGATACACTTCTCTCCACATTTTATGGTAAGAAATGAGAGCTCTAAATTGAAAATGGAAGATGAGAAAGGTACAAAAAAAGTGAATGCGCAGGTGCAGCCTGACCATAAGCTGACAACTGAGCATCACCAATTGGTCAGAAGAAGGAGCCATGGCAATCGGAAGATTAAGATAACCACACAGAAACCTTTTTGCACTGTTAGCTTTAGATCGATCCTCCAAACTTTGTTGAAGCATAAGCCGAGCGTCATCTTCAAAGAATGTGGCACAATGATTTTTTTTTTCTTTGTAAAACTGTCCTATTAATGTCAGTCGGGCTCTTTTCAAGTCGGCCAACGGTGCGTTGATCTGAATCAGGTGTGTTGAAGCGGGGAATCACCTAAAATCTGCAGGAGAGCAGCCCTCAAGACCCCTGGTTTAATGTAATGCTTTTGGTCTTCTCTTTGTGATTGTGTCTTTTCATTAGAGTGTAACCTTTCAAGCTGTTGCCATGGCAATGGTTGGCATTGGGGATGGGGAGGCTGATAGCAATACTTCCTCTCAGGAAGGGTGGGAGGTTTGGACGTACGGGCCCCTTGTCTGTGTGCTTGTGCACGTTTGTGCTGGAATTCTAGGAATTAAAATAGCCGTCCCATCTGAAGAAAGAAAGAACACATTTTAGTTCATAATCATAAGAGCATTATGACATCTGCCCTTGTTTTGTGACACATAACCACGCAGCAATGTTGCAGAGAAGTGTGTGTGTGTGTGTGTGTGTCAGTATATCTGTTGATTCCCCGGGGCTTAGCGACCCGACAGCTGGCGGCTGGGCTCTGTGATATTAAAAACGAAGTTCAGACACAACTGCTTTACGCTATTTACAGATGGATCATGAAACGTGGTGATAAGAGAAAACAGTAGCACATTATCCAACAGAAACGTTAAAACTTTGTGTTTTAACGAATCCTTCATATGTGAAGGATTCTATCATGAACGTGTTCTTATTGGTTGTCATCAGACGGCCTTAAATTAATCTGCGTCCTGCAGCAGGCCATGATCGCATTGTCCTGGCAACTGTAAATCTATGGCTGTGTTTTTTTTTCTCTCAATAAAAAAATTCCACTAAATCCGCTTTAATCCTCGTGTATACATAAAGAATGGTTTGCAGCCAACCTTTCGGTTTGTGTACTTCTTTAACGTGTGGTTTCAAACTACGTTCGATTGAATGTGTGTCTGCTTGTGTGTAAGCGTGTTATTTTTAGTGATAAAACTTTGGGAGGACTGTACAATGGTGGTGTCCCTGTCTGAATCGTCCTCCCTACTTGTCTGCTCTGTAATTGAAAAGATAATTTGGTTTAACACTGCAGGTCATTCTGAGGAGACGTGTTTATTGTGTACAGTGCGGTACTTATGATGAGTGAACCGACTCCTTGACGCTCTATTGAGTAACCAACAGTGTCAGTGTGTCTTTGTGGAGGTATTGATCTGGGCTGAGAATGAAGCACTGAGGTCAGTTTAATTGGAAATAGAGTGGACTAATAGTCAATCAATGTCTTTTAGTGTTTGTCATCGTGTCCCCACTCACACACACACACACACAGTCAGACACACTAACTTCCTGGCTACAGATGTTTTTGCAGCATCACACTGATGACTTTCCCCTCATGATTCCCTGTTTTTCTCAACAGGCAAAAACTCTGCGGAAGCTGATTCAGCAGACCTTCAAACAGGTAGCCAATCTTGACGACGAGCAGTGCATCCTGAAGTTCCTGGAGAGTCTTGCGCCAATCCATCGCTATGACAAGGAGTTCTTCAAATGTGCGCTCGGGGTGGGTTTCCTCCATTCTTCCGTCCTTTAGCTGTGCCTTGATATTGTTCATTATGACTGTGTGATGTTGACCCCTTTTGGTGACAGCAGGACCTGCATGCATCCAACGTACAGTGCCTTCCTGGTCACATTTTCTTTTTTCCTTTTCTCACTTCCTCTATATTCTTTCCAACAGTCCAGCTGGGTGATCCAGGTGGAGTTAGCCATCGGCCCAGAAGAAGGCATCAGCTACCTCACTGATAAGGGCTCTACGGTAAGTTTCTTCCAGAGCCAAAGATTCATCATTCTCAATCACAAAATTATGAAAAAAGGATAAGTATACTTAACATGTTTGTCTTTTTGGTGTCTGCAGCCCACACATTTGGCAAACTTTAACCAAGTCCAGTCCATCCAGTACTCAGCTATGGAGGAGAAAGACAGGAAAGGCATGCTACAGCTGAATGTAGCCGGAGCTGCTGAGGTACAGACAGATGTTGGATTTCTGTGTTTTCCCATTTAAAAACTAGCAATCTATACAGCTGAATACAAGTAGAGTTGCAAGGAGAATAGTATATATGAGGCTCTGGTAAGTTTTTACTTGCTTTGAAAAAGATCCCAGAGAAAAAGAGCGGCTTGATCTGTACTGCAGAGTTTTTACCAACTCTGGCTTTCTGATGAGCAAAGTACTGTGAGTCATAGGAAGCTTTTTTCCTTATGTCCTTAACACTGTCACTCTGTCCTCTGATGGCTTTGCCCATGTTGATGCATGCCTCTTTATGGTGGACACAGTGATGAACCAATAGCTGTAATGTTCAGAATCTAGGCATAGCTTTGTCTGACAGAGGAGGGTTTTCGTGATACACACAAATGAAACAATGGGATCTCTATAGTAACATGTTGTGGCGGAATTAAACACACTGCTGCTACGAGTGCTGTGTTGGACACAGTTTTCCCTGACGTAATGGGCAGCTGGAAACATCCACCACAAGTTTGTTGTGTGGTGATTGTTTGTTTGTGTGTGTGTGTTTTTGCAGCCTCTTACGGTTACGACGGCATCACTCACCATGGCGGAAAACTTGGCTGACTTGATCGACGGTTACTGTCGACTGGTCTCCATGGAAACCCACTCTTTCATCATGAGAGTTCAGAAAGGTACCGTGTGAAGCTGTGTCTTCATTTTTATGTCCGAGTTTCCATACATTTGGAGTGGATGTGTCCAGACTTTTGACTGGTGGGCTCATTTCTCGCGTTGTTTTTGTCTGTCCTGGCACATGCCTCTTGAGATGAGCATTATCTTCTGCTACAGTAACCGTTTTTAACAGAGCAGTTTACAGAGATCCATTATCCATGGTTAGTCCACGTTTTGAAACAGTTTATGCTTTTTTCCTCTAGAGGGAGAGAGAGCTCTGCCTTCCATCCCAAAGTAAGTATATTTCTCTTTAATTCCACCAAAGTTTCTATACCGGCTTATGCCAGACTAAAAACCACCACATTAGTGATGTTTTTTTGTACACAGTATATCTTTGCTATACTAGGCAATTTCCCAGTAGGTTTATTTGTAGTCAAAGTATTTTTAGATTTAGCTTTGATTTAGCTTTCAAGTTTGTCTGGAAAGGTAAAGACTCATAATTCTGCCAGGAAAGTATTTATAATTGTTTTTTAACAAAAATGGCTTTTCAGCATTTATAAAGAAAACTTTTTTTTTTTTCTGTTTGTTTTTTGGTTCTCGTAACAGTTTTGTTTTTATTGAAAGAAGTTGATGTAAACCTATACAAAATTAAAACAATTTCTGTTTGAAATGTTGAAATATTGATAGATTTTGTGTAATTAGGTTTAATAATCTAATAATCTGTGAGAAACTAAATTTCCCAGTTCCCAAACTTTCCAAAATCATGATGTGTGGTGTAAAATTCTAAATTAATCTTCCCTACAAGACAAAATACAAATATTCTCAGTGATCTGTCCTTGTACTGTTTGAGGTTCATATAGATTATGAATGATTTAAAAATAATTTCTCTTTCTATTATTAATATATGACTGGCTTACTTTGGGAATGTGGTTGGAATATCAGAACAGTTCATATTCTTGTTTGTCTTCTTGAAGCCCGGTCAGCGGTGCACACGAGCTTCATTGTCAGATGTTTAAATTCAAACACCAACAGTTTTTGCTTTCTTTTCAACTCAAATCTCTCCCTCACTCTTGTGGTCAAATAAGGAGATAAGTTCAGGAGCCAAATATTTTCCACTTAGGGTTTTTAAACACTCTGCTAGTCTCCTCCTACACTGGCTTTGCTCTCTTCTTCTCTTTTCCTTTTGCCTGTTGCGGTCTGTGATGTAAAGATAGGGCTAGAGCTCAGCTGACACAGAAAAAGAAGCAGTGGTGAAGGGAGAAGCAGAGTAGAGACTCTAACGACTAGTCTACCGATGATGCTAGACGTGGTCACTTTGTTTCCGTTTTAGAGAGCGTCCTGTGCATGCCAACAGCATGTTCCTGCTGTTTAATGTTATTTTCTGTTAAGTGTTTGCAGTCATGTGTGTTTAATAGATATTTACTTAGTTTGCTAGTTCTCGTGTTTTATTGGAGTGTTAAACTTACTATGTTGTCTTTTTTCTCTTGTTCTCTAGGCTTTCTAACAATGAGAAAAAGTTAGAAGCAGTTAGGAGTGGAGTACGAGCCATCTCTGTCTCTGGTAAGAAAATTCTGATCACTGATTTAGGAACCGACTCATTTAAGAGTCTTCCTCGGCTCCAGCTGTCTTTCTTCCTATTTTCCTAAACATCTGTTTTTTTCTGCTCAGTTGGGGCTGTCTCTCCTTTTCTGTCATCCCATCTGCTCTGTTCCAAATGCTATTTGTATACACTCTTCCCGCTCGTTTTCTCACATCTCTGCATTTACTCGAATCCATTCACTCTTGTTTCTCTCTCTCACACTCTGGTCCTCTTCCCTGCCCGGTTGGCTGAAGATTTTCTGACAGCTACACCTTCAAAGCCAGCCAAGGCGCGGCGTTTCCTCCTCCCCTTTGTCTTCTGTTCAGATTCACCACCCAATGGTATCGTCTGCTCTGATTGGACAGTCAGTTAAGGAGCATGTCCACAAAATTGTGATGTGGCGGAGTAAAATTCCTGATTTAACCAACGTGGATTTAGAGCATTAAAAAAAGCACATTGAGTGTCGAAAATCCTCAGTAGAAGGACCCACATCAAGTTTTTTCTATGTTGTTTTAGTTTTCTATCATCATTTTGATCAAGAAAAAGGCCACGGTCAATATTTAGTCATTTTGGTGGTAATTTGTTCAACTTTCTGCCTTTTTCATGTGAAATTGAAAGTTTTTTGAGGGCTCAAACGTTTAATCCGCTGCATCACAATCATCTTCATTTTCACTAAAGTGTTTTGTCCTTACTGTGTGCTTGCTTTAACTAGATCATTTAACCACATTAGCAGGTTGTGTGCAACCAGGGAAATGCTCGCTGAAAAGGCTGGAGCACACCTTATGAGGTGTGTTTTTGATAAAAAAAAAAAAAGTAGTTTTAACCAATTGAAGTGTGAGTATTAAGTTTTTGTTCTACCTTTTATTAAAAAGTAGGTGTTGGTGCTCACAGAGTGAAAAGGGTGTGTTGAGTCAGTACGTGAATCTTGTTTAGATCAAATCTTATTTATTTAAAATAGTTTTGTCAAGTGTTTGTCCCTGTTAAGGAAGCTGTCAGTTTGGGATGTCTTGTTAAAGAGAAGTTAAGTTCCTCACATAAGCCCAGTTTTTACAGCTTTTAAAAAGTCTTACCGGAACAACTACTGGAATAGTTTTCTTAAAGGAATGCTCCTTGATACTTGCGTTAGCAGTAATTCAAACTTTTGTATGTATATGTGTTGCTGGCTGACATCCTGAAGGGGTCATGTGACTTTGGGACTCCATCTGTGGTGATGGCAGCTGTCATCAGTAGTTAGCAGGACTGCTTGGGACGAGATGTGAATCTGGACAGCAGCTGTTTCTTTCTTCACCCCCCTCCAGCCCAGGAATGAGAGACTAACATGTTTGTTTTTTCTGTCATAGTGAATCAGGTCATCTTATAGCAATGGTTTAGTTGACAGAAGTGTGTTTTGCTAAATTCAGCCCAAACCTTATCAGACTCTGTTAAATGCCACTTTGCAGGTTTCAGTCGGCGTTGAAGCTTAAACCATCTATGTTCTGATTTCGACATGTTAAATCGAGGAGCATCCTCTGTGTCTGCAAAAAACCTAAAATAACTTTGCAGCCTGTTACACGACTAGGCCTGCAGATAATTGGACGTGACACAATTCTGGCTGGAAACAATTCATTCTGATGGTCAAAGGTTTTATACTTTAGTCAGTCATCTCTAACATTTTCTTCTGTTAATTTGTTATTTGAGCATTTAAAAAGTGGTGTTCTACAAACAAATAGGTTTTAATTCACAAAGCCTTCCTTTATGCCCAGCAGTTGTTATATTGATTTTACAAATGAATTGCAAATATGTTTAATTTAACAGCTGAAATCAGAATTCTGTCAGCGTCCACTTATTTCCTGCCTCAGCTGTACTTTAACCACTGCCATTCAAATACTTCCCTGAGTTTTTTGTGTCTTTGCAGTATTAATGGACGTGAACTCAGCTTTTTCACATACGTTTGGCTACAGCGTAAATCTCACTGAGTGTGTGGCTGTTCATTTCAAGCAGCTTCTCCTGTTCAAGGCTGTTTATGCGCTAACCTCTCTTCTCTCTCTTTGTCCTCTCTACGCTGCCATTGACTTTACTCTCTTGCTGCCACCTCTGCCTCTCATCCTACTCCTCTGCTGTCCTGTTTCGTGCATGCTCTCCTGGACCCTGCAGAGGATCTTAGCGGGGATGGTAAAGTTACATTGTTGTTTATCAAACTCTCTGTTGTTCTTTCCTTCTCGCCCTGCCCCACCTACACACCACATTCTCCTGGAGAAGGGCAATGTCTGTGTGTGTGTTTCTGCTTAAATTCCTTGCTTCTGTAACAATGGTACTCATTTGTGCTCTTAAACAAGTTTGCTGCCATCTAGAGTGGCATATTTTAGAAGGATGTTTAAGTTAGTCTGTTCTGGATTCAGTCAAATGTGGATGGCCACAAAAAGTGATTATATTTGCTCCTAACCACAAGAAGTACACAAAAGAGGAATTTGTTAATCAAGAAGTTTTCTCTTTAAGGGAAACGTTTCCCTTTTGTCCAAAGCGCAGCCCTCACACACAGTCACACATTCAGGCAAACTGCGGTGCTCCTCTGTATTCACGCTTGTGTGCACAGATTGAAGCAGGGAGAGGTTTGCTGGATTCAAAGTAAGTGCATTCCTGGATATAATAGGCTAGCTGGATTGTACACCCACAAACACACACATATACTAGTGAAAGTATAATTGGATAGGTTGGAAATGTTATTTCTTTGTTAAAATGTATGAAACACCTCAGAAAGCTCAACATGTTGGAGGTTACTGTAAGCTAAAAAAGTCAGTCCATGTTAGCTTGTTAACAGCTGAATCTTAAAAATAAATCAGGAAACCAATGGATTAAAAATGATTCCAGATGAGGAAGCAGTTTTCCTGTTGATAAAATATGGTCATTTTTTGTTTTTGTTCTGGCTCATACATGGATATTTTTAGACACGCACTCACAGCCTTTTTCCCCTCTCATGCAAAAGAGAAATCATGCCGTATCATGCTGGATAAAACTCGGAAAAGATCAAGTTTCTTTACCTTGTTCTCCAAGGAGCTTTTGCATAATATTTGTTTTCCAACTTCTCACTTTATCCTAATACGAATATGTTCTGATTACATGTGTGTTTACATGAGTTGGATGTTCATAGAGCACAGTCCAGAAGGGTCAGGCTGACATCATGTCCCCCAAGACCACTAACATTTGCACCCATCCAGAGTTTTCATTGAAGTTGGGCCTTTTTAAAAAATAGCCTTAAGGTTTACCTTCTTTTTAGCCATCTAACAGCAAGTGACTTGGCTCTGAAAGAGAAAAACTAGCTCAGAGCTGCTCATAGTAAGCGGACATGGCCGCTGTGAGGATGAGAACCAGCAGTGTGTTTCCACCAGATGCTGTTAAAAGTTATGGTTGGCCATAACTGTCTGTAAAGGTAAATGCATGTCTGCACCATGAGAGTAAGATCAACATACTCCACATGCCTCCAAGGGATTTTTACTCCGTGACTAGAACGGTTCAGTTTCTGAGTATTGCAGTGTGTGAATGCGGCCAATGGTAGTAGTGTACTGGGAGAATGCTCTGCCTGGTTCTGTCCATAGCTGTATTTTTATTATTACTTTTCGCACCTAGGTGTGGTTACTAGTTCCTTCCTCTTTCTAGTGTTAAAGCTGAGCTAACTCCCTCTAACAGTTATACAGTTGCATTGACGCGGACCAAATTCAGTGTATCACCCCCCCCCCCCCCCCCCCCCCCCCCCCCCC